AGTTTCTTTTAATTATAAATTAGATAAATGTAATTTTATTCAAATACAAAAATTATTCAAATTATAATTGAAAATCAAATCATTTTAGAGATATATTTTTTAAAATAAAAATATGAAATAATAATTTTTATTTTTTAATAAATATTTTAGATGTTTACTAGATAACCTTATTTAAAGAATTATTTAATTATCAAAATCTTTCAAACATGTTTAAAAATTATAAAGATTAAATTTATCCAAATCTTTCAATAATCTTTTTTATCTTGATTTAAAAAATTACCTTTTTAAAAAATTTAAGTAAGACATTAAAAATTCAAGCAACTTTATGTAAGATTTTGAAATTTCAAAAAAATTTCATCTTAAATTTTTAAATAATAAGATCATGAAAACCATTATATCCATTTAAACTATAATTATCAAATTTATAATTCAAATAAATGTAAAAAATTTAATATTATCTTTATCACTTATTATATCCGTTTTAAATTTAAAAAAATTAATTTAAAAATTATCTATTTAATCCTAATTACTACTAAAGAATTATTTTACAAATTCAAGACTACAAATGTAATGTGTTATACATCAATTTTTTTTAATTTTTTCAATAACTTTTTTTCAAGGTATATTCTATTACTATTATAATTTTTTTTTGCTTATAACTTTTTTTCGAGATATATTTTATTGTTATTACAGTTTTATTCTTATGAAAAATAATATTTTTTTCAATTTATTTTTATTTTTCATATATTTTCTAACATTTTTCATATATTGCATAATAACTTAGTTAATATTACTAAAGTGAAAGTATGTTAATATTTATTTTATTATTTAATTTATCATCTAATAATATAGATTTTTATTTTTTAAGAAAGGTATAATTTATTTTTATTTGATATAATCTTACAAGGATAAAAATATTATTGTAAACAAAAATATCCAAAAGAAATACATAATTTTTTTCTTGCCATTTTCAAAAAATATATTTTTTAATGGCAAGTCAATATATATAAATTTTATATATGCTATAAGTTTTAAAGATTTGAATATAATTTAAAAAGAGACCAATTTGTATATGTATAGTTATATATATATATATATTCATATTAAATAAATAAAATTATTTCATGCATCGCATGGATTATAATCTAATATATGTATATATATTATATAACAACATACATAAATAAGTTTGCTACATGGACACTTATGTGGACAACTTTCTTAAATGACACATAAGATATTTAAAAAAAAAGATAATTTTTTAATTACAAATTAAATAATTTTAAATATATTCAAATATCAAAATTATTCAAATTATAATTGAAAATCAAATCAATTTAGAGATATATTTTCTAAAATTAAAAATATGAAATTTGGATTTTATTTTTTTAAAAATAATTTTAGTTGTTTACCAAATAACCTCATTTAAAATATTATTTAATTATTAAAATCTTTCAAACATGTTTAAAAATTACAAAGATTAAGTTTATCCAAATCTTTCAATAAATCTTTTTATCTTGATTTAAAAAATTATCTTTTTAAAAAATTTAGGTAAGACATTAAAAATTCAAGCAACTTTATATAAGATTTTTTAAAATTCAAAATTTTTTCATTTTAAATATTTGAATAATAAGATCATCAAAACGATTATATCCATTTAAGCTCTAATTATCAAATTTATATTTCAAATAAATGCAAAAAATTTAATACTATCTTTATCACTTATTATATCTTATTTTAAATTTTAAATGATTAATTTTGAAATTATCTATTTAATTCTAATAGCCACTAAAAAATTTTTCTACAAATTTAAAACTACAACTGTAATATATTATACATCAATTTTTTTATTTTTTCAATAACCTTTTTTCAAGATATATTCTATTACTATTGCAATTTTTTTTTTTTTTTGTTTATAACTTTTGTTAAGATATATTTAATTGTTATTATAGTTTCATTCTTATGTAAAATATATTTTTTTCTTATTTCACATATTTTTCTAACATTTTTCATATTTTACATAATAATTTAGTCAAATATACTAAAATGAAAGTATGTTAATACTTTTTTAATTATTTAATTTATCATTCAATAATATATATTTTTATTTTTTTAAGAAAGGCATAATATTTTTATTTGATATAATCTTAGAGGTGTATAAATATTATTATAAACAAATATATCCAAAGGAAAGACATAATTTTTTTCTTATTGTTTACAAAAAATTATTTTTTAATAACAAGTCAATACATATAAATTTTATCTGTGTTATAAGTTTTAAAATTTTGAATATAATTTTTTAAAAAATTAATATATATATATATTCATATTAAATAAATAAAATTATTTCATATATCACACGAGTTATAATCTAATATATATATATATTTTATATTTATATTTTTTTGTTTAGAAGAAAAAAATTAAAGTTATTAATGAGTACTAATGGAAGGGAGGGGAAGCCCAAGCACAAACCCTTTAGTTTGAATTGAATTCATGGAAAGATAAATGTTGATTTGTTTGTATATATTATGGAAATTTTTGATAAATAAATTTTTAATGGGGAGTCAATTAAATGCAAGTGAGCCGTAAACCTGCCATTAGTGTTATATCATGTCCGCATTTGTGTCCAACGCTGTTGCATGTATGGGTAAAGGGCTTAAAATTAACATGCATGGAACATCGAAGCTCTTCCATCTTTCAAATGAGAGTATTATTTTATAATATTTTGGGATTGCATTAGTATTATTGGGTTTGACTCTGATTATTTTAAAAAATATCATCCCTGAATAGTTGTCAATCTCATTTTTTATTCTCAAAATTCTACCCTCAAACATTCATGTGAAAATCTCAGAAGCTGATCATTTGACGAAATTATTTATGACCTGCCGACACGTTCTGTTTTGGAAAGTTACCCTAAACTCGCCCTTTCTTCATCGCGAAAATTTAACGGCCAAATCAACCCCAAATATCCCAGTCTTACCACCCCCACTCTTTTCTCCTTGGATGTAGCCAAATATACAAAGAAACGAAAAGAAAAGAAAAGAAAAATTATTAGATCTGAGACCACCGACAATTGGATCGCTTCCTCCGTCACTAGACATCCCGTCACCACCGTCCAAAAAGCCCCAGGCCCATCACATTTCCGAAAGTACCCTTCTCAACCTCTTCAAATCCCAACAGGACCACCTCAATTACTTCTTTCCAAACCTGGACTTATCCCAAGCATTATCCTTCACCGAAACACTCCTTAATTCTCGGGGCACCATTTTCTTCTCGGGTGTCGGAAAATCCGGATTCGTCGCCAACAAGATCTCCCAAACCCTAGTTTCCCTCGGCATCCGCTCCTCTTTCCTCTCCCCTCTCGACGCCCTCCACGGCGACATCGGCGCACTCTCTTCCGCCGACATCCTCGTCCTCTTTTCCAAATCCGGCTCCACAGAAGAACTCCTCCGCCTCGTCCCCTGCGCCAGAGCCAAGGGGGTCTATCTCATTTCGGTTACCTCCGTTTCCAACAATGCCTTGGCCAACGCTTGCGATATGAACGTGCATTTACCGTTGGAGAGGGAATTGTGTCCGTTCGATTTGGCCCCGGTGACTTCGACGGCGATCCAGATGGTATTTGGGGACACTGTGGCAATTGCGCTTATGGGAGCTAAGAACTTGACTAAGGAGCAATACGCGGCGAATCATCCCGCTGGGAGGATTGGGAAAAGCCTTATCTTTAAGGTTTGTTTTTTATTATTTACTGATTTTGAGATTAGAATTTTGATAAATTTAATTGCTTTTGATGATGGGATTATGGATCATTAGTGGGTTTCTAACATTTTTTATGAAGTTTATTGCTCTCAATTTTTTGAGATCTGGGTTTTAATTGAAAGATTCAAAGACTGTTCTTTTTGTTTGCTAATGAATGCCAAGGTTGATATATATATGTATATATGAGCAGTAGAATGGTGAAAATTGAAAATGTTTGATTTATTACTTATTGCGGTAATTTGATGGATTTATTTGAACTTCTATTTCTAGGATCATGTCATTGTCAATTTAACTGAGATAGATGGACAGTCGAGACTGAAAGTTTTTCTTTTTCCTTTTTTTTTAATTCTTTTTTTTTTCTCTCATGTTTTGCTTTCTGCTTAATTTGTGCATTAGCTTCTTCATTGCTTTTAATTTTCAGAATTGGTAATGTGGAGGAAACTTGAAGGTCACGAAAATATAGACTCTTTCTTTTTATTGAAGTTGTAGAATGATGGATTGGTGCTTTTGTGCTTGTAGGTAAAAGATGTGATGAAAAAGCAAGATGAACTTCCAGTTTGCAAGGAAGGAGATTTGATAATGGATCAGCTGGTGGAGCTGACTAGTAAAGGATGCGGTTGCTTGCTGGTTATAGATGAGGATTATCACTTGCTTGGCACATTTACAGATGGTGATTTGCGGCGTACTCTTAAGGCCAGCGGTGAAGCCATATTCAAGCTCACGGTGGGAGAAATGTGCAACAGGTAAATGCAAATGGCAGTGTTCAAATGAGTTGTAGTAAATTGTGAAGTTGCTTTCTGATTAATGGATTATCTTGTTTTCAATCAAGTCACTCATATCCTTTTGGTTATAACAGGAAACCAAGAACAATTGGTGCAGAAGCGATGGCAGTGGAAGCCATGCAAAAGATGGAATCACCACCTTCTCCTGTACAATTTCTGCCCGTTATCGATCATCAAAATGTCTTGATTGGCATTGTCACATTGCATGGATTAGTTTCAGCTGGCCTCTGAGACAATGAAACGGTCTTTTGTCTGGTTTTGAATGTTAATACCCTGAGAAAATTCTTTCGTGAGTATTAATTAAAATTTTAATTCAACAAGATAATGTCTTGTCATGTATTCTTGACATATTTATTTACCAATTTATTAATTCAATGTGATTTATTTAGGCATTAAAGAAGGTACTTCCGTTGAAGATTGCATAATATATTCCCGTATTTTATCTCAACAGGGAAACAAGCAAGGCTTCATAATCAAGCAACTTTCATAGGAAAAAAAAAAAGAGGCTATAGATATTCAAAATTTCCAATCATATGAGGTATATTAACAAAACTTGTTCAAAAACAATGTCAATAACCTGGCTTTCTTCCCAAAAAGTGTCCATGTCCTACTAAAGACAATTGCAATCTGACCCACACAATATGGTTGAAAAAAATTTCCTCCACTCTACAACAGGAAAAAATTCCAGAGAGCAGTAAGGTAGGCAACACAGCAAGCAAATAACAAAAGGCTAATTGGCTCTATCTCATTCACGACAATTTTGTCTACGTCCTAATGTAGCTGTACAACGTACATTTGATTGGCAGATATACCCGCCTGGATGCTTGACCCTTCTTATCAAGGCCTAAGCTAGTTGTAGCGCCGAGTTCAGATTTACTTCTTTTTTCGTTTCTTAGAAGCTGGATGGCTCAGAGGCAGTCCTTTAGAAGTTGATTTAAAATGTTTTGTTTTACCATGCTTATGGGAAATATCTTTTAGAAGCTCTGATAATGTGACTTCTCTTTCAGGACGATTAGGAGGCCTCGAACTGCATGTTGATGAGATGCGTCCTTCTCCTCCATCATTAAGGTTAAGGTCTGCTGTCTCCTCAGATTCTGAGGAACTTGACATGCTTTTACTTGATGATAAAGCTTTTGACATCATCTCTCTAAGTAACATGGAAGTATCATCTTGACTCACACTTGGAAGGGAAGGAGTTGATACTGTCTTCTCTTCTGATTTTAGTTGATTCAGGTATTGTGATTGCCGTAGACGGGCCTTTATTTCTGCCTTGATGGAAGAAGCAGTAGTCCAACCATTGCTATAACATGTTCCTGCATCTTGGAACGTGTGCTCTTTTTGTCCTTTATCTTTTGTGCATGAATTTTCGTTAGGAATGTAGTAGTGAAGACCCAAATTAAGGTCCTCTCTAGCCCATCTATACACTGCACTGAATTTCCCTTCCAATGCTTCAACAAGAATATTTAACTCGCTGATTTCGTACTGGTATAGGAAAATCTTGTCAGTCCATGTGCAAGAACAAAGCCGCTTTGCATGATTTAAACATGAATATCTATCAGCAGAACATGGACAGTGTGCAGCTGAGAGGTACAAATCAAAGTAACATATGCTACATTCCTTTTTGCCAGTAGCATTAAAGTTTTTGTCCTTCCTCTTCTGAGAGGTGGTACAAAGGTATTCCCTTCTATTACCTTCCTGCTTGACACATGACTGCATGCTCCCATGTGAGAAAGAAAGGGGCAAAACATAAAGCAAGAGAAAAAGCATCAGTAACTATAAGCCTCAATGCTCCACTCAAAGTATAAAAGGGGCAAAATATAAAGCAAGAGGAAAAGCATCAGTAACTATAAGCCTAATTGCTCCACTCAAGTATAAAATTACGATATTATCTAGACTACAAATTCAAAGCTGCAACCAAAATTTAGAAATACACATGCACACACAATGAGTTCAGAACCACACCCCTGATCTCTTTAGAAGAAGGGTTCCTTTTCTCCTCTTTTTGGGGGGAGGATGGAGTATGAAGTGAATAACAAATTTCAGAATTTCTAAATCAAGGAAGTTCTAGTTCACATAGATTACAACCTCGACTACAGAGGATGAGATTCAGAAGTGTACCTTCAGTGTTTCAGTCAAGATCCCATTCTTTCCACAGGCACCTTTCCACCTTAAATTGTCAATGGTGTTCTTCTTTAACAAAGATAGCTCCCACTGCGCCTTCACAGCTTCTCTAGCAGCTTCAATCAACAATTTATTGAAGGAAATTGACGTCTCTCTTCCCAGTGCTTGATAAAGTGCTGCAGCATTCTGCCCATGAGGTAGCCAATCAAGAGGAGCAAAATTAACTGACTCAACAACATTAAACCCACAATCAAATGCTGAATGATAGGCTCCTGGAAAAACCAGAACAAACTCCCTAGGATACTGAATACAACGGTAGACAGGTACGCCCTCAGACTTCAACATGAACGGAGAAAGTCCTGTGGTCTGCATCAAATACTTTTAGCTTTAGGGTATACGTGAACTCCACAAATTTCCTAAGCTTTCTATAACATCCTAGTTTCTAAAACTGAAAACAGAGAAATTGAAATTATGTGACCAATAAAGGGCTCATCCAAGTAATCCAATAGTATCAGGATAAAGATTGCTCTAGAAAATAAAAATATAGTAGTGCCACTGAAATTGTTCATATATAGCAAGCAAAAAATTATACTTACACATGCAAACACTTACCTCGAACTCTTCTTTCTTTTCATAAGGTTACATTCAGAGTATTCTTGTATTAAGAGAACTCCTATAAGTATGAATTCCAGCAAAATACTTGCCAATGAAGTGGATGCACAGACGAGTCATCACAGCGGTATTAAAGCATTCTTTATTAAAAGGTAAGCTAAAAAATAAAGCTTTCGGAAAAAATACTTTTTGCACAATTGGAATAATTCAGGATTCAATGCTTGTATAATTACAAGCTAAAGATACATCAAAGAAAAAATGTTATAGAAAATCACAGCACGAATCTCCACATGCTTATTTTAAGCATGCCATGGAATAACCTCTTAAGGGTCAAACAAAAAGTAAACCTTGCATGCAATTCAATAAGGAATTATTACTCACCACTTCTTGATGCAGCTTAAACTGTTTGGCTATTGAATCTGGAAGGAACTTCTTCATAAAAGCCTCAAACTTGAAGGAATATCTCCCAGGGACACAATGCCAAATTTTTGGAGAACCCACATGCATGTAACATAGTGAGTATAAATGGTGTTCTTCAACTTTCTGCTCATAAAATTGATTAAATAAATTAAAACAAGCATGAAAAGCTGTTTATACAAAACGAAAAATACGTTGATTGTTATTTGCTGTACATAAATAAATGTCTATGATACAAACATCCACCAACATACTCATAAACATTTAGCATCTTGCAATCTAGCAGAAGTAACATGTGATCAACAAAGCCATCCTTACCCAATATTGTGATGAAAAGCACATTCCTATACGTAGCTGAGGCACTAATACACCAGAAGTCTTATCACTTTCAAAAGAAAGAAGAGAACCTGGAAGCTTAGGTACATTATTTAAGTTCCAGCTTGAATGAATGTAACTAGGATAATTATCTACTTCCCAAGAATTTAATGCTGTTGGAAATCCACTGCCAAAAGTTATAGTATCCAAATTGTCGCCATATAGCACCTATGAAGAATCAAGACATAAGTATATTAGATAATTTTAGGAGCAGAAGCAAAAATATAATAAATGGGCACATTACATGATTCTACCATACCTCTAATACTCCAGTGGGATTCTCAACAATCTTTCTATATTCACCCTCAATACTCTCCACTGATGGCTCCCCCTGTTTGCAATTGACATGATGATCCGCATCCTTATGTTTGGAGAAAAAATGGTGCTGCACGAAATCATCTGCATATTTCTTAAATGTTTTTAAGGTAAATTCTGGACCAGGTTTGGACACATTGAGCTCCATATCTAAGCATGCAACATCCTCAGGATTCATGGAGTATTCACTCCTAAACCCTTGCTGAAAACTCATTCCCGAGCTTCTTCTCTTACTTGCACCTGTATAAACTTCAGCTGTTTTGCTCCTCACGGACTGAGCTGGAAACTTGTCAAACTGTTGAATCTGGGTAACAAATGTAGAATTTTCCCATATGCCCTTTTCCTTAATAAGGCATGGTGGTTGCCATGAAGGAGGAGGAACAACACGACAAATTCCATATGGCTCGGCTTTAAGACGTATGCTCTCAATGTACTTTAGTGCGTCATTGAATTCCTGGGATAAGATTCAAACCCCTTAAATATTTAAAACTTTTACCAGCCAAAACAGTTGGCATTAACAAACTTGGAACAAATAAATTGAAGCATAACCAGTGAAACGCATAAATGTCATTTTTTTTTCCAGTGAGACAAAAGGGACCTCTTCAGATGGGTGAAAAACAGGCGCCTCTTCAAGGACATCTCTTCTTGCTTCTCCAGGATACTGCATTACTGTTGCCTGTTTCAAGGCTTCAATAAATGGTCATGAGGTACCAAGTCATGAGAGAAAGAAGCATGTAAAACAGAATCATATAGATCCTAAGACTATAGTCTAGCATATGGACTAAACAAATTATACCGAAAGGCAAGAAAGAAAGGGAAGAAAGGCATAAATATGACCTTATAATGTTGCATGGAATGATATTCCCTTGCAATTTGATCGCTCTTGTCATAAAGTATCCACGGTCTATTCCCAACAGATTCCTTTAGCTTTTCAACATCAATCACGTCAGATTTGGCCTCTACCTGCAGTTTCCCTTGTGTGGATGCATCCTTCGAGTCTTTGAAGCCCAAGTTTTCCTCGCGATGTTCAACCTTCTTCAAGAAGAAAGACGAAAGAGATGCAAAACCTGGTGGAGCTGAAAGTCTTGCAGGACTCTCATTTTCAATACGAGTTTTCCAGTGTTCTGCCCCCATATCCAAACTGGAAAACAGAAAAATAGCAATTATATAACCAAGGAGATTTTAACTGATTAATCTCAATGTAACAAGTAGTTAACAACAAAGACCAACGATCAACTGCTTTCTTGAAAACCTTGAATTTAATTTTCAACAGCCAATTAGATAAAAGCCCACAAATATTTTGCAGTTGAAAAACATTGAAAAGAAAAGGAACCTAAAAATTGATTCCAATGCAACTTAACAACATTTTTCAAATACTAAACTTCACAACAATTTACAGTTTATTTTTCTCAGAATTTAGAGACAACTTTGGGTCATCATTCAATTAACGAAAGTCCAAGTGATGTTGGATAAGAACCTACATTAAACCAAGTGAAGTTTCCCACAAATTTCATACACCTAAAATTTACAACCAAACTAATGAAAACCACCAAAAAAAAAAAAAAAATTTTAAAGGCTCTGCACATACCCAGAAGAAAAGGAGACAGGAGACAAAATCCCAGATGTCTAATGCAATTGGAACCGACTGTTTTGAAGAAACCTCGAAGAACTGGGTCAATCCATAAGGGAAAATTCGAAGGGGAAAGGGAAAAAAGACTTAAGTAACCATAATTTGATTGCCCACATTTTGGTCGATGGTTGGTTTCGAGCGGTGTTTGGACTGAGAATGGAACTGCAAGCGGTCTATAATGGAATTCCCACTATGCCCTCTTCCAATTTTGTTTTTTTGTTTATTTATGTTTTTTTTGCCAATTATCTATTTATCTATACTTTATATACAACTTTTGATTAAATTAATATTACGAGTCAGATAAATATATTCGGTGGATTGACAAAAAAACTATAAAATTATATTACAAAAATTTAAAACTAAAGATAGACATCGTTTTTTACTTTAAAAAAAAAAAAGAACTTTTGAAAACGTATTATTATTATTATTATTATTATTATTATTATTATTATTATTTACTCATGGGTATGTCAAATTTTATTATTTTTATTTTTACATTTTTAAATTTATAATATTAGGATAAAATTTTTAAATGGGATTTTTTTTACAAAAGTGATGAAATTTTTATTAAAAACAAATTATTGAAAATCAAAATAATTAAAAACATTAAAAATCAAACTAATTAATGTTATATAACATATATATCTCCAAATATATTCGTACTCCATTCCCTCCACTTAACTTCCAAAAATCAAAATTAGCTCTCAAGAATTTTTTTTCTAAAATAAAAAAAATCCTTAAATTTTATAACTTTACCTAAATAAATTTTTATATTTGTGTTACATTTAAATAAATTTTTATATTTTAATAAATTTTTAATCTTTAATTTATATTTAAATCAACCCTTAAATCTAAATGAGCAAACCTAACATAAACTATTCTTTTATTAGAAATAAAAGTTCATTTGAAAAAAAATCAAAATCAAAATATAAAGATAAAGATTTATTTAAATATAATAAAAATATAAAAAAATTTCTAAAGAAAAATAGAATAATTTAAGAATTTTTTAAAATAATATAATAGAAAGATTTTAGTAAACCAAAAGGCCCAAACTGGAAAGCAGGTAAGAGTAGGATTCGGGAATTTGCAGAAGTTGGTCTTCAGATTTTGGTCCAACTGGCTAACCAGGCCCTGGAACTATGGCATTTACAAGTTGGACTGTTGGATAAGAATTTCTTTTCTTTTTTGCTTCCCTTAAAGAAAAAGGTATCCAGTCTTTTCCATTGCGACACGACATTGACCCTTGTCCCAACTTACATTTTTTTTTCTTTGCACTGATTTTGTTTTATTAAGGTTTTTTTTTAATTTTTTATTGGGGCACACAGAAAATACTACAAAACAGTGGTAATTGCCCAACACCGGACATTCCCGTGTATCGTGCTCTACAAACAAAGCAGCTTCATTCATGATTTTTATTGTTGATCTTCCTTTTTTTTTTAGATATAAAGTGTTGAAATAATTTGTGCTTATTCCACTTATAAAATCTAAACATTCCACTAATGATGTATAACCCAATGTAATTTTCATTTTCAGATTAATTCACTCTTTAAACGATCTAAATCTATTATTGAGGGTGCCGAGATTTGTATAATATTGTTCCAATTCTCTTTCAGCAACAGATTTAATAGTCTGATCACTTAACCTTCTTATTCCCCTAATTATCAAGAACTTGTTTAATTTCGAGTTTTAATAAACAAACTAATTAATTTTCCTTGGGATGGATCAAATTTCAATAGTCTATTCTGATCAATTTTGATTTTCCATTGCAATTAACCACATCGCAATCACCAATACAAAAATTTTGGTCCTTGTTAATATCATCGAACACTTGAAATTTTTTTACTTCTTGACTAATATGATTACATTCATCAATTATTACAATTGTTTTCCTTCTCCATTTTTATCACCTAGACCCTTTCTCTCATTTTCAATCCTCGATGCCTTTGTCCATTTCCAATTGAAAATTTGAGAGAGAATCCAATGCTTTGAAAAATATATACCAAACATTATTATGGCCTGAAATTTCATGGAAGGTTTCTCAGTTCAAAACCAATATAAAGATGCAAAAACAAACTACTGTTTGATGATGTTTTGTTTGTTCCATGATTTGTCATTTCAGTTTGTAGTTAGTGCAGAAATTAATTAATATTGTCACAGATTTCATTGATGGAAAGTAGGAAGAAATTGGCAATATGTTTGTCATTTGGATGTCTTAATTTGGATTAATTAACAAGAGTAATCAAGAACCAAAAATGATAGATTAACTTGGGTCTTTGGCAATTTGCCCGGTTGGCAAATGCAATCTTGCATACTATCACGGTCATGGCTCCTGTCTGATTTGAGAATCCTCTTCGATCCAACCAGGAACCTGCACTTATTCGAATCCCGATGCTTCAAGTAAATGGACCTCATTTCTATTATAGTATACAACATAATTAATATAGAATCAGAACGTTATATTTATGTCACTTCAATATCATATTAAGATATTTTAAGAATTCGTTAAACTTAAAATTAGATTGCAAAAAATCTTATAAAATTATGAAAATTTTAAATTAAAACATATAATATTTTATAGTTTGGATGTAAATTTCTGTAGTATTTTACATCTATTTTGAGGTTGTTTTTTCTCTAAAATTATATAATGAAGGTAGATTCATAGAAATCATTTGAATCACTTCTGTTCACTTTCTTTCAAGGTTTAACTCAAGCAAGTGAAATGTGGTGGTCCAAAAGTAACATTAGCTGGCTTACGTGTTTTGGATTTGTTTGTTGATTAATTTGGAGTTAAGTAAATAAATGTATTTTTGTTGAGAATTGTCAGTGACCTCTGAATATTACTTCATTCATTTGATATTAGTGGTAGTTAGGGACCATCTGCATTATTGAGTGGTTAAAACAAATTTCACGTTTACACAATTGAAGCTTTTCTTTTGGAAAATTTTAAAAATAAATTAATTACTCAAATTTCATCATTTCATCTATCTTTGTCTAACAAAATTTAATAAAAAAGCAAAAAGGGAAAATAAAAAATTAATCAAACAAGCTAATTCGAAGTTTTTTGTTTAACTATATATATTGTATTTGAAACAATGGAGGGTTGAGCTTAATTAAGGCTTTCATCGTCATTGGAAAGAGATATAAGTACCAAATTAAATCATGCAATACGGAAACAAAAAAGCAGAGTTATAATTGCATTATTATTGATAAGACTCATTAATTACTCTTGTATTTACTCAAAATGATTGTACTTTGTAAAGGGGTTAGGTGCTTTTTGGCTTTGTTTCTCCTTCTAGTTGAACAAGATACAGATGTCTCCCTCATCCATCATAAGTGGAAATATAACCACAAAATTTTTTTTTTTTTTTTTTGGTGACAAGTGGGGATAAATGAAACTCTGGAATATATATCCACCAAAAATAATTGTGTACATCAAATAATAGAGATAATAATGTCTTCTTTTATATATATATATATATATTAATGTGAGTTTTACTTGTGAAGTTTACGTGAGAATGTAAGAAATAAAACCAATCATTCTAATATTCTGGAAATTATTGTGGGATGATTGTTGAAGCTCTTCAATGGTTTTTCTAATCTCCAATAAAGATATATAAAAGACAGCATATTTATTCTGTATTTTGTTACCTTTTTACAAAGAGACACGAAGGACAAAAGGAGGGAATATTCTGCTTTAGTGAGGATATATCCTAATCGATTACTGTTATTCCTTCTCAAATAATTACGATGCTAAAGAGAATTTGAGAATAAAGTAGTATATTTTCTTTGAAAGGTAACTACAGTATATTGTTTAATTTTAATTTTTTATGAAAAATTATTTGATGCATTAATAATAAATTTCTTTTATTTTATAAACGAAGTTAGAAGATGACACATCTTATTTCTTTTTTAAATTATTATTTTTTAAACATATAAAAAATATGTGTCTCATTTTAATTCTATTTATGGAGTGAAAAAATTTTATTATCAATGTATTTGATAATTTTTACCCTCGACTTTATAAAATGTTTTAGATTTAAGTGATAAGAAAATATCAAAATTGGCTTTTTATCACTTTTAAAGTTTAAGGGAAATGAGAGGATTCCAACTTTAAATTTTGAACATTGAAAGAAAGATAACAATCACTTAAGTTAAGCTTGGGTATAATTATAATTGATGTTACATAAAAAAAAAAAAAAACTCACTTTTTAAATTATTTGTAATTTTTAAAATTTATAATGTTATTGATAATATCACATGATATTTTACAAATAATGTGATATTGTCATGTAAGCATATTGTTAAAAATTAATAATTGACTAACCAAAAAAGATAATATCATAAACATTGTTAATTAAATTATAATTTTTCATAGTTGAATGATCAAAATAAGAAATCACCTAAAATTAAGTAACTAAAGGTGTGATTTACCTTTTATTATTTTTATAATTTTTTCTTTGGTAAAATCGAGTCTAAGTAGCCCTAAAAACATTTAAAAACTTTATCAATGAAGCTAGCTATCAACAACTTAAAGACTAAAAATCCATAAAAAAGTGTTGGGATTGGCCACCCATATTTTATATCTTATCCTTGGAGCTTACAATAAAAGATATAAGTCGAATTTAACCACCCAAATGTACGCAATTTTAGGCTTTGGATGAGGATATGACTAGCTGAAAAAGTAAGGCATATATGTTGTACATAAAGTGATACACACTAGCAAAAGTTCTTTTGCCTATTAGCTAGATTCCCCAATAAAAATCATGTCATGCATTAAAATTAATGACTCAAAGTTTAGGGATTGAAGTTAATTAATTGGAAAACTAAATTAAGTGTAGCTAGTTAGTAATTTTAATGCAATAAAGATATTCATATTTTTTATATAAAAGAGACCGTAGCCGAGATGGAAAAAGATTGGAGGTAAATTAGAGCCACCAATTATCAATTTTAAAATTTATTAATGAGTATACTTTATCAATTACACTAGGTATCAAATTTTGTTCATTGCATCCATGACTACAAAATCTTGTGTTTAATTAGTTAAATATAAAAGGCAAGAGCACAATGCCACAAAGGCACGAACCTAAAATCTAACTCAACCAAAAACTTACACCAAGAAAAGGATTCCATATAAGCTTCATAATCTGTTTTTCATACTTCATGAGAGTTTAAACCCTATAATATTGAGATTTCCATGCCTGCACTGTCATATAGGTCTCATTTTTTATAATAAATAAATATATATAACTCTTTTAATGTAAAAAAAAATAAATAAGTTGGCAAACAAGCAATACTTATTGTATGATGATTTTTTTTATCATTATTATTGCATTTTCATTGATAAAAAATTACCTTTCAATTAATAAAGTTTTTGCTGAAAATGCAATTAACAATGAGTAATTAATTGTAAATTTAAAAAATTATTTTGTTTATATTTTGCATAGTAATGATTTTAATTATAATACATATATATATATATATATATATTTTTTATGAAATAAGTATAAAAAAAAAACTAAAATTATAATCAAATATTACATTCGTACTCTTATAACAAATTACTAAATTAAACCATATATAGCTGATTAAATCTAATATAAAGTTGGATCAAAGTACACATGGTATAACTGATTCCTTTTAATAGCTAATAGTCTAATCTGAATATTTATAAAAAATATATATATAATAATTAGGTGGTTACAACACAGTCTTAGGATTTTTGTTCAATGTTCACTGCATTGCTAATGGAGTACAAAATTTCATAAGCGAATTTTTACTTTTTTTTTATAAAAGTCCATTAATTATGGATAAAATATTAATTTTTAATAACAAGTTAACATATTTGATTAAATGTAAAAAAAAAAAAATGGGTTTGTCAAATTTTCACATTCTATTAACTATGTATTGAATAATAATATATAATCTTAATTACAAAATGTTTATAAACTTTGAATTTAAAAAAGACCAGTAAAGAATAAAGATGCTTTATATATATATATATATATATAATTTTTACAATGCACAATGTATACAAAAAAAAAAAAAAAAAACCCTAAACTGAAAATACACACAATCTTCTAACATCCAATGTAAAATGAGTTGTATAGTCAAAGGCAAACACCACACCAACATCGCAAATCAACAAATGGTAGTTTTCTTTATTTTTTTTATTCAATATTTTTCATAGGATAACCATACTGTTATCAATCTCAAATCTCATGTCCTCCAAGTTGGAAGAGACCCCGTGAACATGATGATCTCCCAAGCTGTTTTCTTCCATGTTTATGGCCCACAAGAACTCGTAGTCATCATCAACTTTGGAGCTAGCCTCATTGCTGCAGGGATGATTGTTGTTATTGTTCTTTTCCTGATGAGGATTATACTGAAGCAGGTTTAGGAAGCTTTGGCCGTGGCTTTGATGGGTAGCTGTGGTGGATAAAGAGCTGATTTGTTGACACCCACAAGCCATGGTTGTTTGGTCTGTTAAAGATGGGGCATGAGTTGAGGTCTCGAACATCATTGGGGAGCTGATAAGTTTGGTGCTATTCTCTCCTTTGCTCTTGTGAAAAACTCTACATAAAACCCAGTCTTCCTGTCACAAGACAAAACTTCAACTTGATCAGCTATACATAATATATAGATGCTCCTTATATATATATATATATATATATATACACACACACACAAAAGTGGCCGGCCATGCTCATATATACATATGAATAGTTCCCATCCAATTTGCCTTGGTGATAAGCCTCAAACATCCCTCTCTTTGCTCTCTCCCTCGGCAATAATACTATCATTGCATAAGTACTTGATTATGAGAACACATGGAAATTGAACAAATGGTAAGTGGACAACTTGCATATGCCCACTACTTTTTGTTAAGTTTCGTTTGAGAAAACACGATATTTATTTCACATACATATGGCAGTTGCAATTGCCAACCACCTCTCTTTTCTCTAAATTTCTATCTCTCTCTCAGTCATTTTCAAGCAGCATATATAAACAGAAATTGATGAACATAGTTGAAAAGAGCAGCGAAGGAAAATGACCTTAGGGGGCATGTGTGGGGTCTCGAGGCGAAATTCATGCATGATCCAACCCGTTTTGATTCCATTGGGAGCTCGGTTCCTGTAAAACACCAAAGTCTTTCTCATCCCTACCACCTCTTGTGTTCCTGGGTCGACCACCGTTCGATCCTTCCCTGTTGCTTTCCAGTACCCGGAAATCGTCGCCCGATTCGTTCGGAATCCTGTGGCATACTTTCGGTCACGAAAGCTGAAGAAGTACCACTCGTTTGCGTTCAGCTTTGCCACCTCTTTAATTTCATTTTAAGTCCCCATGCATACACAAAATATATAGTTCATTTGTTGATTGTAATTTGTTTAATTTCACTCCTAGTAAGTATAAATACGGATAATTAAAATATAATTAATTACTGTTCATAAACAATAAATAATTTATCTAGGAGACAGAAAACTGGATGAGTTACATCAAGCTTTGCTATGGAATTTTCTTTTGCTTTCAATCGACATAATTAAAAAAAAAATTCACTAACTTTTTCTTCTTACTTGAATTACTGAGAGTGTTGGTAAGTCTTTGTCACCTTATGAGTTATGTCTAAGAAAGCTAAGGATTTGTCTGGCATTACATGCCAGGGAAAACAACCTTTTTCTCTAACAACTAACTGTAGTTTCTTTGTTTGCCTTGGACGATTGTCTTAAAAACTTAAAAGTGATGTTTTTGGAGAATTTTGGGGAAGCAAACTCTCTGTTGGTAATTGCTATGTAACAGCTAAATGAGATAAAATTGTCTTATACTTAATATCTTAGATACAAACTTTAAAACAATATAATAATTAATAATTACGTACAGACTTCTTTAGGCTGTTCAATTTATATTTAGAAAATTTTATCTTATATGCCTTTTATTTTAAATCAAAATCTTAAATTCATAGCAAAATCGAATGGTACAAGAATCCTTAAAAAAACAATAAGTGCTAGATCTTACAAAAATAAAACACAAGCAAGCAACACTTAGTAATGAAAATCACTCTTATAAGCTCTTAAAGATTCATTTTTCTCGCTCAACCAAAAAGAGACTACCACGCATCAATAAATTAAGTGCGAAAAAAACAAAAGGTGACAAAGAGAGTGGCTTCTATTTCTAGGTCACATGTTAGTCTAAGACCACACTCAACATTTAGCCATTATGTCTTGTGTAACTTTCTCTATTATAGCAATGACCAAGTAATTTAATTACCCTCGCATGAGATCATTGCGATGATCTTTTTTTTCATAATTGTTAGGACTTGCCAAGTTTGTCTATGGACAAAAATTATTCTTAATGAACACGACTACATAAATTGGAAAGTGCACGAGATAGCATAGATACAGAGACAGAGAGAGAAAGAAAGATGATATATGGGCAAAGGTATTGTCTATTGCGTATGAGTACCATATACATCTACAGTTTCTACTTTGAAAAGGAAAAACTCGTACTGACTAAAAACCAGGTAAACATGCAAATGCTAGCTGTTTTCTTTTTTTTTTTTTTTTCTGTCTAAGAGTTGGCATATATAAATGAATTATTGAAGATATATAGGCATCGTCTATAGCTTGATGATTTGATGCATTTATTAAGGGGGCTTCAATTTAGCAGAGCAAATATATTTTTAATTATTTGTTCATATAATTTTTACATCAAAAACTAGTTCAACTCCATCCCTTGAATAAAAAAAATCTAGGAGTTCTTTTTATTTTAACAAAGAAAATTATACTAAAACATCTAAACCAGTAAGTTTGATGGTTGTGATTTCAGACAAAGGGAAAATATCTCAAATTATGGAAAGATGAAATCTCCCACTTTTTGCTTTTGAAGGAAAAGATATCCCATGATTTTAGGCTATAGTTAGTAAAATGTATATATATAACTGGAATCAAATCAAATGATGGAGAATTTATTTATTTATTTATTATTTTAGTTCTTGCAATGTGCCAAAACAAAAAACATAAACATATGAGAGAAAAAACAAACAAACCTTACTTACATGACTCAAGAAGTAGGTGAAGGCATACAAAAAAGAAAACACTATTGGTGGATTCATATCCAAAGAAAAATTATTAGTACTTATTTGGGAGTTATCACTAAAGAAGTTGGCATTCTATATTTCTATATATTAAAGGAATGAAGATGAATAAACTTACATATTCACCACATGCATAAATATATATATATATATATATATATACATACTTATATACATGCATATATTTTATGGGTTTCTATATATGTGTGTGTGTGTGAGTGTATACACTCTAAGAAAACTCATGTGCTTCCTTTCCCATCTCTCTTTCTCTTTCATTCTCTCTATTAGAGGACGTGTTTATTGGTCTGCTGTTTCTAATAGATAACATGGCAGACGGCACCGCATGTTTGCCTGCGCCTTGTACTAGAGATCAGAACAATTCAATAATTGTCCTCCTTTCTGTTTGTCTTTCAAACATGCTAAAACACACCGACAACCGCAGCTAAGAGACCATCCTTGCTAGTTTGCTTAAACTTTAACATATATATATCAACCAATGATTATTATTGTTTTCTTTAGCTTTAATGGAACATTAATAATTTTAGCGAACAGCCCATATTCAGGGAAGATAGAAAGTGATCAAAGAATAAGATTCCAAAAGCAACCTTAAAGGGAAACCGTAGAAGGAATTTCGTATAATTGATAAAAAGGATGAGAGACCTACCAGGAAGCTGCCATGGCTCACATGTATGCAAATCAATTTCCACCAAAGTACCTTTCAAGACTTCTTCATTGGCAATCTTTTTGTAGAGATAATGGCAGACCAACTCCTCATCGCTTGGATAAAACCTAAACCCAGGAGGCAGTGTAGCTCCAATGTCCCTTAGCCCCATATTTATGTTGCTAAGAAGGAAAAGGGGAGGGTGGTGGGTGGGAAAAGAAATAAGAAATATATAAGAAACTTATTTTTGTTTCTTTGAGATCTTTGGCATGACGGGGGAGAGGGGCAAAATTTAATGAAAGAATAAATTTAAGGTAGGAGATGGAATGTAAATGAACTAAAAGAAGGTACGGTATGATTTTCTTCGTTTAGGACTTGAAAATATTATATGGAAGAGGAAGGTTTGTATTGTGTGTGTATATATATATAGCTAGGTTTGTACGTGACGAAAAATAATAATAATAATAATAGTTGGTCGACGGACACTTCCATCAAAGGGGGACCATATTATCATCTTGATCAATAGAAAGGGCTGAAAAAACCTAATGTCCCCGACCACGTGATCCATTTCATTGGTCTGAGCAAGAACAGAGACAACTCAAAACAAAAAAAAAAAACACACACACACACACAAAAAGGAGGAAAATATAATAAATAATCAAAATTAATAGATGGAATAATAAGAAGAAGAAGAAGAAGAAGAAGAAGAAAATGTTAATAATTAATAATTATCAATTTAAGAGAGAGAGAGAGAATCCCATCCCATCTGTTCAAATTTTGGTCACATAAGATAAAATTTGGATGGATGCTAAGCAAAAACCAGTGGGCTGATGCTTGTCTAACTGGGGTCCACTAATGATGAAGGACATCAGACCCGTCATATATATATATATATATATATATATAACTAAAAAAAAGTGAACTGTTTAAACATTAATAATATTATTTAATTATCTACATTAATTAGTTGAGATGAAAAAAAAAATGAATTTTTCTTTATCATTCGATTTTGTTAAAAAAAAACATTTCGGTAATAAAATATCTCAAGATGATATTGTGAAAAAAAATGCACATATAAAACCCTTAAGATTGCTCTTAAAAAAAAAATCCGAAAATATCCTTATTTTATAAAAAAAATACCATTTCTTTTTAATTTTCAGTGAGTAATGTTAGAAGGACAATGATAATAATTAATTAAATAATAATAGAAAATACAGACAAAAGGATATTTGTCATAAGACGTGTCATGATCTGATGATAATAATAATTAGGGGATAGTATATAGCTGATGATGACAGGATTGGGGTCACAACTCTATTCAATTAGATTGAAACTAGACTTATCAATGTTCATTATGTGGGTGAAATAGATAATATTTTAATTATTTAAAAAACATTAAAATAATAAAAAGATTTGATACTATCATATAATTTAAGATAAAACAAAGTAAAATAACTTTGAGACGGAGATAAAATAATTAGAAGTGGTTTTTAAATTCTGGATTCCCACTCAATTTTTAAGGAAAATAAAATTATTATCATAATCTTATTAGTATATGTTTTATATTGTATAATTTATTTTTTTATTAATTTTTAATTGGATTTATGTTATTTGACCCGTGACACTTAATTAATCATGAGTTTTCTATATAATAATATAGATAATAAAGCTCAAATTTTACTATTATTACATTAAATAATAATTGTGAAAAAAAAAAAAGAAAAGCCCTAAGATCTAATTACAATAACTAGATATATGTATTTATACGTATATATCATAGCAATAAGGTCGATATTGGCCTTGTGATTTTCTGAAGGTGGGTAACTTGCTTAGCAGGTCGAGCTGGGTAGCTATTAAGATGAAGGGTCAATTTTGCCATTAGATGATATCATTTGCACCTTTTAATAATATTATTATTAGAATTAGTTTTTTATATCCTATTAATGTAAATTTTTAATTTCATTAACGAATTAAAAAATTTATACATTTTATTTTTTAAGCATATATTAAGTTATGTGTATCATTTTATTAACTTTATTTATAAATTTGAAAACTTTTACTAAATAAAAAATATTTTATTATTATTATTTGTCGGACATATATGAAAAAAAAAATGTCTTTCAAAAAGGAAAAGAAGAACGCGATGCGACAGTTATTAAAAATGGGGTTTGATGTCTTTGTTTCATGTCGGAAAACAACGGTAATTTAATGCGTATTAGTTTGCCATATATCTATGAGTTGATGAATTAACATATGAAAGTGAGCTTCTTGTCATAATCATTATCTTAACAACTAAGTTAACTTGGATTATCAATCAATGTTTCATCAAAAACCATAAATGACTAACTATAAAAAAAAAAAAAAAAGCTATACCAAATGCTTAATTGGACATCAAATTGACCCACTATCTGATTTACAAGAAACAGAAAGGAGTAAAGATAAGAAGAGTCCATAAACAACATTTCAAGTCAAAACTAGGTCATTCACTTTTCTTAGTAATTCACGAGCTAGGTTTGAACATTTAGTCTTTCGAGCAAGCCAACTTACATACATGTACTATAATAATTTTTTTTAATTTATTAATGTTTATTTGGCATTAATATTTTTAAAAAACCCGAAGTTCGTAGGGGCGTCGATGGCGCCGGAAGGCATGTGATTCACCTATATACTAAGGTACACATCATAAGGGTGGGAATGACGTATAGATTTTTCTAAAATAAAATCATGGAGAGAACCCTAGCAACGAAATTAAGATAATAATTCCAATGATAGTGAAGTTGTAGGGTTAGGGTTTTCTCCAAGGAGGGAACTTGAGTTAGCTATGGGTGTGGTTTGATGTTGGACGATGAGTGACGGCTTCACATTCCTCTTTGGAACCAATAATTTTCCAATCGCTTTCTCTTCTTTCCCTTACCTTTAAAAAAATGTGTCCTTTTTGGTTGATACACTTCCATAAGTTATGGGCTTCTTCTAATTTTAAGGGATATTCATTCATACACACCGTACCCCAAAATGCCAATGTCGTCATCTCCTCCTAAATTTCAATGTCTCATTATTAATTAGAAAGTTACATAAACATTTTTCCATGTGGAGGTCCACCTAGTCATCGATCTATACAGTTTGTCCAATAGGATTGCACCAACTCAGCGCCATGAGTCAGACCCCCACGTGGTTTCTCTAATGTTCTTTGGCCACTTGTTATTAATGAGCAATTGGCGTTATCAAAATCGTGATCAGTCGCCTATAATTATAATACTTTGATTTATGTATATATAAAAATTAATATATGCTTCATTTACGCGTACAACTATTCATAAAATATTATGATTTCAATGATTATCCTAAGATTTGCATGCTGAGTTGACAAGCAAAAAAAAATAAAATTATTACTCCCTAGCTAAACGACGGTCGTATACCAACAAAAATTGGAATAGCTTTCTTCTTTCCTTCGTCTTCCTCCATGATTTCTCAAAGAAGAATCATCCGAACCTTGTCTGCAAATTTCTTTATGAACAGAAAAGAAAAATTTTATAAAGAAATTGCAGTCCGATAATAAAACACCGTTATAAGAATTAAATTTTAAATTTTAAATTTATTAAATAAAACTCATTACGTGAATCATTTAAATTAAATTTTAATCATGATAAAATAACATAAAAATTTTTATACGAACTTTACCCTAATCATCAAGACATGAAATAAGTTTTGGAAATATATTTGATCTTTCTTTTGTGACCCATGTGCCAAATATTCCCCAACTTTTTAATTTTCATCTTCCATGAATAACTTTTTCAAAGAAAAGTAATCTTTATTCACTTTATGTATATGCACTTTTGAAATTTGTGGTAAGTTGATGAGATTGTTGGTGAATAGCGTGACTAAAAACTACCATTATTGAACTTTATCAAGAAACAAACTTCCTTTTTGCTTTTTTGAACAGATAAAACATATTTAAGGCTAGCTTTCTTCAAATCTAGAAAAAAGATAAAAGAGACTTCACTTGATTTTATTGATCAGTTGTTTGTTTGATGTATGGTTGGGGTTTGAAACAACATATATATCTTGTTCAGACTATAATTAAATATTTTTACTGTTCATAAAGTTGGGTTTTTTTTTTTTTTTTATCAAGCCTTTACCCGCAAGGGTTTATCATATTGTCTTGAAGTACATTTATGAAACAATATTCCCAAGTTTATTCCTTGTTTTCATAAAAAAAAGGTTGTTCCTTGTTAATTAACAGAAAACAGTTGGTTCATGTGATATTTGTTATCCTTTCAATTCAATGTCATGATTGGCTACTTAATTCATTTCTTTCCAAATACTATATGTACCAAAAATAGAAAAGATATATTTGTAGAAGTTAAGCATTCAGAATTAAAAGTATTCAAGGAAATGTAAATGTTCATTCAATGAATTAAAAATTGTATGATTTTGATGATTTTCAATGCATTAAATGAAGTGCCAAGAGAGGTTTGTTCTTATTTTGATTCTCTTAATTTGAATCCGAGACTGTAAGAAAATAATTTTTCATGAATGCACTAAATTCAATATAAATAAATCTATTTGAATTGATATGAGAATAAAATGTATTAGATAAAACTAAAAATTCTTAATTATGTAACCTAAAAAAAGTCTCCTAACAAACAATATCTTACTATACCTTAAGGATTTGAAACAAGTTTAATTATCATGCATGCACGATTAAACATCTAGTATTGGAACTTTTCGAATTGATCATTTTGCTTTTTTTATTTGAATAAAAAATCTCATCCCTACTTCACAAACCCAAAAAGATTTTGGCTAAGAATGGCATTGATTAACCTGTATAACAGAAAAATAATCATGCTTAAAGTAAGTATAAGATTTTTAGGTATAGGAACAAAGTAGACACCACTTTTGTCAACAAAGCTATGGTAGATTTGAAGTAGTTTAATTAAAATTGTTGGCGATTACTCCATCAAAAGGAATTTTCCCACAGTGGATTTGAAGCTGATTCGGAATAAAACGATACCCTCAAATTGGATACATGATTAGTTAGACATATACCCTCATCAAAAAGCAAAAAAAAAAAAAAAAAACCTTTATGTCTTTTTCAAGCTAGAATAATTTTTTTTTTATTTTGCTAAAAAAAATGTAACAACATCAAAAGATTCGGTTGATAGCTTGAAAACGAGGGAAATTGTTATCTACAAGTATAAGCATCGTTGATCACGCAGCCATGGATGTGATTGGCAGTCATAAAAGCAACTCCGACAATTGTATTTACTAAGCTAATTCGTCTCTAAAGTTAATTACAGATATTTTAGGTTTATGATTTTAACACAAAAACTATCTGTCAGTCAACAATAGTAGTACTACATATTACTTGCTAATAAAAACGTCGGCTATTTTTTTTTTAAAGAAATATAAATATGTATATATTGACAAAATAATTTTGTGGTCTTTTTGTTGGATTAGAGGCGTATACGATCATTGGCGACATTGCATGCCTCTTGTGACGACAGCTGGAGAATTATATGGATAATGATAATAATAACAATATATGTGAAGAAGAAGCTAGGTTTTGTGATTGCAGAGATAGCGTGTATGGAGAAGGGTTTGAGGTGATTTATGAGAGTTAAGACGCTAGCAATTCTAGTTCTTGTTTTTAGTTTTGAGCGCCGCAAATGTTCTTGAATGAGCCCACAAATGCAGACACACTGCCTGAGAGAGACACCAACGGAAGAAAGAGGAAAAGAGAAAAAAGAAAGTATAAGAAAGAAAAAGAAAAAAAAAGAGGAAAAAGTTTTTATTCTGGCAAGAACAGAATCCCGTGTATAATTATCACATGAAGGATTCTTTTCTCTTTTTTTTTTTTCTCAAAATTATTTCAATCTTAAAAGACCCACATATCCAATATCAACAACCCTACCATGAACAACAACAACTTGGCTTTTTAAGTGGATGATGAGATTGCTCACCTCCATTATTATAATTTGCTTGGTAATCTGGATTCAGTAAAAAAAAAAAAAAAAAAAACCCTTGATTTAAGGGAGGGCATGACAATTAACTTAGTATGTACTGGATCTTGAAAGCTATTGTTCACCTAATATATTTGTAAAATTCACACAAACTAATCTCTGAATCATTCTCATCCTAGCTGTTGTTTTCACCCCCCAAATCTATTTTGCGGTTAAGCACTTAGAGCTGTTGAACTTGTTATGAAATCTGAACCGTGTTTGTCTGTTTCCTAATAATTAAGCTTTCTCTCTTGATATATCAAGGTCTGTAGGCTGTACTTGCAGGTTCAATAATGGAGAAAGGGAGAGACAGATTATCAAGTAGGAGAGGGGGAGAGCTATCAGATTCAGCAGCTGCCAAAGTTGCTGTCACAGTAATAATCCTCTGGATGTGTATCCGTGATCTTTAAGCTAAGAAAGATCATTAGTCTTGACTGAACTTCTGTCAGCTCAAAGTGTTTCTGAGAAAATGAAATGAAGAACTAGGATTCCTCATTGCAGTTAAGCATGCCATAGCACTAACAGGGAAAACATCTTAGATTGCATAATTTTACATGTCGTCAGAGACAGAGAAGACGCGTGTCTTGTAATGCTTGGTTGTCGATAAATATTGACAAATAACAATGTTTTCACAGGCAATATCAATCAATCCGAGATTCTATGTAAAATGGCCTACCATACTCCCATAATTTAAAATTAAAGAAGCATAAGCAATTAGGGGGAGGCCATAAATCTGCTCAAGCTAAGAACATCTGCAGGTCTTTGATTGCATTTTGGATTTAACTCTGGGATCCACATACACCCTGATCCTAAACCAAATTATTAGCGTAGTAGTTTCAAATTTACCCATTTTCTTCAACCACATTAATGTTTATTTTGGCAGGTAGCTGATCTGAACTAATCTACAATCAACCCAATTTCTTGTCATACAATTTATTTTATTCTACTCCTGGAATTAATCCCATTATTAGACTGACCAGAAACCTTGAGTATTTAATCAAACTGCTAATAAGCCTAGCCTTCGTTGAATGTCTGCAGATTTGAAACGGAAATGATCGAGTAAGGAATATGCCACTACGGTCCTTTACCAACTAGGGCTGCTTAGATATATCATATGAATTTTTTTTGTCAACAAAAAAAAAAAAAGTGAAGGGAGGCTTTCTCAAGCTCAGACCAAAGAGTCAGAAAATTTAATAAATTTTGAATTTAAATTTTTAAATTAAATATTGAAACCTTTATAAGTTATAACTCAACCCATCTCATTGGCTACCATGATTCATACCATAAACTAACACTATTCCTTCAGATTTTGGTTTTCAAGGGTTCTATTCTCTCTCTCTCTCTCAAACCCCACTCCACTTTTTTATTGGGTTGTGCAATGTCAGCTTAAGAGGAACAACACTGACAAAAGTTCTCTGGAAACAATCCAAAAATGGTCCCTTAACCACACAAAATTAAAATAATAAAAGAAAAACTGTTGATACGCCACCTCACAATGATGTTCACCACCCAAAATATATATATATATATATATATATAGAATCTTAAAGCAAACCGTTTAAACAACCTTTAAGAAACTTATCCGCCTAACTGGACTCTGTTAGTCTAAAGCTCTTTCCTAAACTACAGGTCAGAAGAATTATTAAACAATAGCTAAAGTTTTTGTGATTATTCGGACCGATCCTTTGATCTGCTTCTTTAATTTCATGTAATTCTAAACTACAAAGCAATGGACACACGAGGAATTATAATCAAACAAGAAACAAAATCATCAAGTCTACGTCAATAACATCTAAATAGTAAAAGCAACAGCAATTTTTCTTGTGTGACAATATTTGCATTTAAATAAGAGATTTATTTGAGATGTATAGATTACATGGATTTTTTGCATATATACACACACTACATACGCTTGGATTTCTGGAGGCTTTCAAAACTGCTTTAGCAATATTGTAATTTATCCCACATTCTGATGATGGTGATGCCTTTCAAAATCATTATGTAAAGCTTCGTGACTTCATATTTATTATGTAAAGCTTTTTCATTCACTTTGATTTTAATTCTTTCAGTAACGAATATTCCCCCCAAGGCTCTTGTTAAATACCCTGTACAGAGATTCCTATACCCCATCTTGATTTAAAAAAAACAACCAAAAAACACATAAATTGTACATAATTACCAAATTGATAATTAATTTTGGATAGAAGTTGAAATTAAGATTAATATTATTATTAGGTGGTCAGGTTGAGTCATAATTTCATTTCAGAGTCATGAAACATATTTGCTCAATTTGATAGCTCCTAATAAATCCAAAAGGGTGTGGAAATTTTTGAAAACATTAAATCAACATGATTAACTTATTTCATGTCAAGTTCATTGGATTAATATGATATGAAACTCGAAAAATCGAAAGCATCAATATTCAATCCCAATGGTTTTAAATGTCTGGAGAAGGACGCCGATCGAGAGGAAAACAGCTATGAATGTCCACAAATAAGATGAAGTTAATGGGAGTAAAATCACCTTTTTGTCCACAATCATGCGTTTAATAAAATATTAAATTCTTAATTTCATTAATCAAGATTTAATTATTAGTCTAAAGTACTAAAAAAAACCATCATTGTTTGAAAATGGGAATATATAAACGAGTTAGCGAAACCTTTCGACGAAACCCTGAGCTGTCAGTTTGTAAGAAATGACGGTGAGAACTTGGTTGCATAGACCGGCCGAAGAAATCACCAATCAGACAAGGTGGGTTGTGATTAGCGGTCAGCATCCAGATGCTGATGAGTCCACTTGGATGAGAACCACCATGAACATGATTGTTTTCCATGGTACAATAGGGCTCAAAATTTGGCAGGAAGAGGAAGATGCCCGGAAGCTAATTTAGTCGTACCGTTGGGTACATCTTACACCTCTACTTTCATATTATTCAAGCATTGATGTAATCATGTCCAAACAAAACTATATTATTATTAAATTCTATAATAATAACATTTATTTACGGTACATGACATAGAAATTTTAAAAGATGAAAAAAATAATAACAATAAAAAAAAAAAAAAGCTGAATCACTTGCAAATCATGTGATAAATCCCTTGCATACTTTTGGATTTGATCCAGTCCCTATAAAGAATGTACAGTCTCAAATCACGTATCTTGGCACCTTTTCTCGTAAAAATGCAAATGCCGAGTTTTCAAATAAAGCATTAATCAACTGAGCATAGTAAAAAAATATGAAACCGGTTTCGGAACTAGAGAAATCCGTAAACCAACACACACTTTTCAAAAGTAAGCCATACACATCAATACTCTCACCATCAAGCATAAATCCACATTCAATTTTCACATCTAATAATTCTATAAACAAGCAACTGGAAACCGACTCATCTGAGATAATAAAATAAATATATGCAACCAGATCAAGTGGATTATGCCAAGAAAACCGAACGAATAACGATATAAAAATGTATATACAGGCCAATAGGGTGAATGGGCTTTGTATTTGAAGCAAATAGCCAAGACATGCACCGGATGAAAGCTTTCCACCTTATGGCATAAACGAAAAAGTACCATATTCTAATGGGATTAATGTTCTTCGACAAATCTTATCACATTTATGAGATCAGAATGCAAATATGACAAACTCGTACTGGCTATTAATGACCATCCAAGTCCACAACATCATGGACCCCTAAAAATAATCATTCAACAATGAATTGTCCTAATTATGAAGAGGCGGACAACAAGAATCCAGTTCTGCATGTATTGCCCTACTAGAAGCCATATCTGCACAGAGATCACAAGACTCTAAAATCTTGCTGGTCCTACATCTCTCTCTCTCTCCCTCTCTTTCCAGTTAGTATGACAATACAATTGATGTAACAATATCAGATATGCAAAATTTAGAAGATGTAACATCAGCTCTCATAGATGGTGATAGTTGCAAACCCGATCAATGAGAAGAATTCACAGTAGACTGTAGAGGAAGTAAAGACGGAATAGAAGCATAAGTTCTCTAACATTAACTTCTTATCCAACATCTACAATTAAATCGTAGTAAGGCGACTATTCTCACAGCTTGTCCCCTCAAATCATATTTACCAGTGTATGCATTGTGTTTCATTGAATAAAATATAGTCCCCTGATAGAATAGGTGACTTTCTGAGGAATGCATTTATTTCAGATAGAAGGTTGATATCCTTACTTTTGACCAAATGGTCATGTCACTCAATTCAACTGATTTTTTCCTTGTTCTAAATTTCATCAACTGCCTAAAATTCTAAGCTATATGGCATAAAAGCCAAGTTAGTATGAGACCATATCAAGGACTTTCTCTCTTTACATGGGTTTGCAAGCAAAGCAAAATATTTTCCTAGAGATTCTAGCTACACCAAGATCAAATATAAATATAAAACTAACAAGTGTTGCTGCAACATCTATATAATCGTTCTAATTTAAGATTGCACTAGGTGACAGCTGCACCATTGTCAAAAACATTAAGATTCTCCGTTCCAACCTTACAATTTGATATTAATTATTTACCCCCATTGATTCAAATCTTAGGCATGCCTATACATGCATGCATACATACAAACATATATATAATATATTAATTCTTGGTCAAATTGAATTATTTATGAACTAGAAAAGTCACTTTTTTTTTTAAAGAAAACCATCAATAAATTGGTCATCACAAGGGTCTTTATAATTAAAATAAACAAATAAAGTAGCATGTATCTTCTCTTTTAAATTTGTTTTAAACAGTTTGGTCTTATATATTAGGATCTTTTAAATGTTCAATATTTTAAGGGGAAGTTGATTTTTACTGTTCTTTTTTTTTTTTTTCATTCAAGCATACGAATACAACAATTATACATATAAAAGAGAGTGTTTATAAATATGGTCAAGATGTTTACCAAAAAAGTTTCACTTTTGAAAGCTTTTGTTTTCTAATATGTATTATGGTGTTTATAGTGGAGTTTAAGGTTTATTCTCAATTTAAAAAAATTAAGATTTTCAGCAGCATGGTATACTAATTCAAATTCTCTGAGTTAAGGTCAGGGTCAGCTTAATTGAATAAAGGTCATTTACAGTGGTTCACTTCACTTTAAACATAGGGAGATCAACGTTAAAGCACTGAAATATTAGATTGGCAAGTTGATAGAAGCAAAACAACCTCATGAATTTGCAATTGATCACCATGACAAGCAATCAACTGAAATATTATTAGTGTTAAGCCTTACAGCAGTTTAATCAATCATGGAAGGTTGCCAAATAAATGAATAATACAAGATTTAGAAGAGAAGACACTCACTTCATCCAGCATTCCATGCTGATGTGAATGATTGCATTGACAATGGTTGTCTTTTGTTCATTCATCAACCTAATCAAAATTTTTCATCATTCTATTAGCAGGCAATTTAAAGCATTAAAAGCTAATGACTCAACTGAATTGGTAACTACACCTCATATTCAAGACTGAGCCCAAAGAGAAGCAATATAATCTAACTGTCACTCCTAGTGGTATCTTCTTGAGTTCTATTCTTTTGAAACCCGAACAACCATACCAGTTGGTGTATGGGCAGTTTTGAGATGACCAGATCCAATCAAGTCACGAAGGTGAAACCTCATATCAAGAGGAGAAAATCGAAGCCGCTTCTTTTCCAAAGCAGCCAACATCATCTCTCTATATCTTCTACGATTTAAAAGAGAGAGGAGTTCCTTCCTTCCCTGAATACCGAGCATAATAAGAACACTTTAAGTACAACGCTGACAGAGTAGAGGACTTAAAATATCTTATGATAAAATCTAAAAGCACTCTAACTTTGTTAGACCAAAGCAGCATCTAAATTATTCAAAGTACTTGGTGAAATGCAAAATGTTTGAAAAGTTTTGGAGGATATTTATCTATGTAATTCATACTCAAGTAAAGTCCACAGATTTTAATATTGCATCCACTTTCAAAGTTCAGGCTCCTTCTGACCTTTTAATTTGATGGAAACCAAATAGGTGAAACCAAATAGGTGAAACCAAAAGTTTTGACCATTGGGAACCAAAAATAACATAAAAGGATTCAATGGGATTTGGTCTTAAATTTCTGTTCAACTCCTTTTTCTAACCAGCAAAATCTAACATTTCATGTTAGCGTATGGTTCCAATGATGAGTTGGTAGTATATTTATATTTCCAAGCACCTAATTCACCATATGCTCACAACTTCAGGTACAAAAGCAATCAACATATCAGGGATAGACATTCTTCCCCTCTTTGCAAAATAAAACCTGTCATATTGCCTCACAATCATAGGAGCCCAACATGCCTGGTGAGTCCAAATACTTAAACTCAGTGAACTTGTAAGGGATGGAATGTGACAAGCAAATATTAACATCCCACTGGTTAGTGCAGGAAAATTAACTTAAACTGTTTATTTACCTGGGAGAGGCCTTTCAGTATTGAACCAATATTTGGGATTGCAAACCAGTACATAGTTGGATCAATCAATTGGCGAGTCTGAAAGGAAATGCCATTGTTAGAACAGGAACACACTTGGGGAGAAATCAAACATGTTCAATGCAACTATGCAATAAGATGAAAAAATAAAGCAAATTAGAGGGAAATGGAATTGCATAAGTACCATATGGTGGAAAATTAAAAGGAAAAAAAAAATCCATTCAACTAAATACCAATAAAAAATAAGTGAAAAGCATTTTCATGCGCACACACGTACAAGTTTACAATTGTGCATTCTAATAAACCCATCCAGATGGCACTCATAATACAAGATGTAATTCTAGCTTGATATAATTACTGAATTAATATACGAAATTGTTTTTATGATATACCAAGGCAAAATAGCCACAAAATATACAGTATCCAAGAAATGCAGTTCAACAAACTGAAACAATATGACAAATTCACCAAAAGCAAAATTCTCTTACAATAAGGCCAGCATTGATTAGGAGGGATATGTGTTCATCTTTCACCCTTCCCCCTAGTGATAAGAGTGAACACTGCAGCAAAGACAAGCAAAACCATGAAATTATAGAGACAAAATTGCATGCACAGCAAATGGTAACCTAAACAGGTTAAGGTAACATTCTAAAAAGAAAATTATTAAAATGAAAGTAGAAAGAACATAAATCCTGAGGACAAGACATTCATAAAAGATTACTTAATATCTTCTTACGCAACATGAAAGTTTCATAATATTAGATCTCTGGAGTCATCACATTTAACCCACATGTCATATATATACATACATATATGAGTCTACCACTAGATAAACAACTTGACAATTAGTAATACTCAAAATTATTTTAAAATTTTTACATCACAAAAAATTGATAAGTATGTCATGCACACCAAACGTATACTGAAATAACTAAATACATCAGCACCCAAAAATAATAATACTATTAATAATAACAGCAATAACACATGATAATGAACATCAAAAAAACAAATTTCAGAATGCTCCTAAAATACAAGATTACAGGTAGGCTATAGATCCATAATTGTCACTTAAGGAAATGGTCGGAGCCACTTGAAATGCAGCACAAGTAGTGAATTTTTCTGTAGAGGACATCAACATATTAAAAAAGCAAAAGTTTTTTGGCATGTCAAACTCCAAGTAAAAGGTACGTGTGCTAAGAGATTAAAATTAGGTGCTAAAGTAGCATAATGTTGGTCTGCCTTTTCAACAAATATGACTGCCTCTACCCGATAAAAGAAAAAGATAATATGGGTCTGCCTGTTCTGTTTGCCAACATTTAATACAGTTAGAGACCAAACAAAAAATAAAAAAGGAACAAAAGCTGGAGATCCAAACTAAACATGAAACAGACATGTAATGGCTAGGATCTACTAATTTTCTAAACAAGATCAAATATTCCTCAAAGGAACTTTCAAGACAATTCCTTATAAAGGGGGAAAAACTAGGTGCACCAAAAATGCATTAAATGGATATGCATGGTAAACAGAAAGAAGCAATCAGACATACAAACACAGGCACATAGAAAAATGGTTCACAAAATGACTCAAAACTGTACTTGCAGAATGCAATTGTTGACTGAAGGTTCTAACAAACACAAAATTATATCTATCTCAAGCAGAGTAGAAAGTAAACGAACAACATAGTTCATTGATGTTTGGATCACTCACAAGTTCTTGATGTTCAATGCTAGATTCCAGCTTGGATTCAATAACATGCACTTTAAACCACTTAAAAACTTCAAGATCACCTTGTTTCCTTTTTTCAATTCTTTTGACAACATGTTCTATCTGTAAATATTATGGACAGAGAAATCAGTCAAAAGGTAGCCTACAATAGTTAGCCTTGCTGCTAAACAAACATCCCTTGCCAAGAATACCAAGCACCATAAAGCTTAATACCTCAATCAGAGCCAGCTCAGATTATATGTAACAGGCCTCAGTTTGAATTAATTAACATTAAAGTTGCAACTAACATGACAAGCTAATCATCCTCAATCAAAAGAATTTACAAACATCAATCAACCAACCTCTTTTATATAATCATCTAAAAACATTATGCCATGATCATCTTGCCCAGTATTTAGTTTGAAAACACGCACTGCTTTCTCCCTCCTTAGAGACTGCAGAAAAGAGAACATATTACAAAAACCACATGGGACTGAGTAAAAAGTTATTCTATTTATGAATTCAGAGAAAAAAGTTGCAAGAAAATATTTCATTCAAAGAAACTCCCAATAAACATGAACATTTACATGCTCACTTCACAAGAACTAGGTACTTACTGTCCAGGTAGTTAGAATCTTTTCTTATCATGTTCAGTCACCAAACATGTCCCAAATATGTGTTTTACCAAGAAACACATGATGTGTAATGTGTTAGCCACGAAACGTACATGTCTAACTAAAATCTACAAAATGCATGTGGATCTAATTGGAAAGTAGGTAACTCCTTTTTCTCCTGGGAAACCACATGATGCCCTAGAAAAAAATACATAAAGATACATCTCATAGAATAAAGTTCTAAAAATGGGATATAAAATTCAAGGCTTCAGCACAAAATGTAAACCAACAACATGCCAAACACTCAACTAAATAAAATAACTTGTAAAGTTTTTTTTTTTTCTGTTTGTTTAATAACTTGTATAGTTGTAGCAACATTTACTTCAAATTGCAACAGCATATAAAAAAATAACTTTATAAATGATACTCTCAATATTCAATTAATAAAACAAATTTTTGGCCAAACTTAAAATTGAATCATAGTTCAGGAACAATTTTGCATCCTAAATAATATACTAAATTTGAAGTTTAAGGAACCAAACCTCTAGCTCCCTATCCACTTGAGTTCTATCCTTTACACTGCTATACAATTGTGACTGCAAAATGAAAGGTTGAATTGCGACCTTGAAACAGAACCAAATCAAATGAAAGGATTTTAGCTTTATAGCTTTAAACAAAAGTTGATATAAAAAAATTTAAAACAAAAAAAAAATTGATTTTTAATTGAAAATTGCAAAATAAAATTTTTTGAATAAAAGGTAGAGATATTAGGAGTAGAGTAGAGTGCTAACCTTATCAATTTGAGGAAACTGGGCTCGCATTATACGAAGCGCCATCAAAGTGTCGCTAAAGCTAAGATTTTTCCCTGCGAAATCAGACAGCAGTCATGAAAAACATTCGCTAAAATACGAAAAGGAAACTGGTAGTAATTTGTTTGAAGCGTCAGCTTTTATACCGAGAGAAAGAGAATGATCAGCATCACTATTTTTGGCCTCGATCTCTTCTTCTTCTTCTTCTCTTCTGCGTTTTTTCCCTTTCTCCATCTTTAAGGGAGAGCTTTTGGAAAAAGAAAAAACCCTAAAATTTAATTTGGAACCTTAACACCAACGGTAATTCGGACGTTGGCGGCGCGGCCCACTTCTCGGTTTTGGAACTTTCGGTTTAGTGACGTGTATTTATAATATTTGCAATATGATATAATAATGATGAAAAATAAATCACTTTCATTTTTTCATAAATTTTTTGGCCAATTTTTTTCATAAACTTAACACCTTTTTCTTTTCACGTGACCTAAGATTTTTTTGAAAATTTTAATTTATTTTTAAATATCCTCTTATCCTAATATTTACATAATTAAAAAAATATTACTTACATAAATTTTTTAAATTTAAATTTTAATAATAAATTAATTTATCTAAGTGTCAATCAACTTTACATGAACTAAAATAAAATAGAAATCTTCAAATTTTTCAATCAAATAGTATATTTTGAAGAAATTTTTTACTCCAATTACAATTTTATATCATATTATTTTTATATTAAATATTTAAATTAATAACAAATAAAAATAAATACAAAGATAATCCATAATTGAAAAACTTTAAAAAAAATTATAAATATTAAAATTCATATTAAATATTTAATAGATATTATTTTTTAAAAATCATTTTTTAAATTAATCAGATTAAATCTCAAATTCAACTGTATTCATGTTTTAGCTTAATAATAAAATTAAATTTTGTTAAAGAAAATTAATGATTTCAACAAATTTAGCATAAAATTTTTCACTTAATTTTTTTATTCAATTATTGATCAAATGGTGGTGAAAACCTTTGTCACCTTAAACTAAATATTACATTTCAACTTTCTAATGTCTTTGATTAATACTAATATCAATTTTTAATTGCAATAATATAACTTCACTTGTGAATACAAAAAATAAATTACCAAACATAATAAAAAAGAGCGTTATTTGCAAATTTCTTATTCAAAAAATATTTTTTTAATCTTTTATTTGTTTTTAATAATTTTATCTAATAGTAAAATTATAAAAATTATTAAAAAATAATTATATAATTAAAACAACAATCAAAATAATTCTTCAATTAAAATTTAAGATTACTTTTTAAAAATTGGAGTTTGAATATTGGAATAAGAGAAAATTAATTATTTTTATTATGCAATTAAATATTACATATAACAAAAAAATAAATCAAAATAATTAAAAAAATATTTAACAAAATAACCTGATAAATGTTCTTCCAATTTCCATTAATAAAAAACGTTTTTTTTAATTTATTTATCCAAATCAACAAAATAAAATGCTTTTTTTTTTTAATTTGAGCCGCATTTGACTGAAGAATAAAAAGAAAGAAAGAAAGAATTCTTCTAAATCTGTAACAAATCCCCAGAAAAACCGGCGTATATACCTGAATTCGAAACTAACCAAACGACAGCCCTCATTGTCGTTAAACTTCGTCTCTGCCTCTGTCTCTATCTCTCTCCTCTCATCTGCTAACTTACTGACAGCCTTAAAACAGAGACCAGATACAGCTTTAACATTTAAAAAAAAAAGAGAACTTTCCTTTTTTGAATGTTCAAAAAGCTTCTTCAGTGCTCTGTCCTCTTTTGGAAAAATTTTGATTTCAATTAACACCTCTTTTTCTTTACAGGTATGTAAAGAATACAGTATCTACATGCATTTTTTTTTCCGCCTTTTTGCCCATGTTGCCGACAGCATTTTTTTTTTCTTATTTGATATTTTGTTATTATTTTTTAGGTGGAAAAAGTTTGAAGCTTTGAATGACTGAAGTGGGTCTATTCTATCCCTCTCAAAGCTTTTGTTTTTGGATGTCAAATTGTATTTGACAATGTAACTGTCGGTGCTTTACTAGTTACTACTTACTCTTAACGTTTGCTATGGTATTAATCATCAATTTCAATGCTTTTATTTGTATATTACTGAAACTGGGAAACTGGGTGTTTTCAATTTGATCTGGGTTTTTTTCTCTTTGTGCTCTGCAAGATTTTTCTTTACTTGGGAGATTTTGGCTTTTTTTTACAAGGTAATAATATATATATTTAAAAACTATTGCTTTGTTATTTATTTCATGCCAATGTTTGTTTAGTGTCTTCTATTGGATCCAATGCCCTGTAATGGTTTAGCCCTCTAAATTGTCTTATGTCATGCATTCATTCATTAGAATCAATGGTTTTGAATTTAGTAATTGCTGAGAAGCTGACGATGAGTTATGTGGGTCTTTTTGCATCAACTGCTTTTGAAATTTTGTAATTTCTTTGTCAGTTTCCGGTGGATATGCGAGCAGGGATTCAAAAAAGTTACTTCTAATTTGAGGTATTTTCTGTGATTGAAATATTGATTTGTTAGTTTGGATATTAAATCTATATATAGTTGGTCTTTTGAATCCAATAATTTGGTTTGCAAAGATCTCTAACTCTGTATCTTATTTGCATGTTGAAGTCAAAGTAGAAGGGAGATTCTTTTTCCTCTTTCTTCTTGGTTTGCTCGAAAAAGATATGACAAGGGGAAGGGCTGATGTGAATCCAAAGAAACGGTTAGTCACTTGGATAGTAGTTTTGGTTATCTGTTGTGGTTGCTTCTATGCATATACTCGGAACAATGGTTCATCTGCACTTGAGTATGGAAGTAAATCTTTGAGGAAACTTGGTTCTTCTTACTGGCGTGGGGATGAAGAAACTGCTGATTCTTCTGATAAACATCTTGAAGATGGAGATGATGGTGTTATAGTAAAGAGTTTCCCTGTGAGTGCAATTTATATGAGCCAACTTTGTACCATTTTGCACCTATATTTGTTTATGGGTTACCTGATATTAGTTGGTTTTTGCTCGTCATTGGTTTGTCAAAGGTTTGTGACGATCGACATTCCGAGCTAATTCCTTGCCTAGACAGGAATCTTATATACCAAACAAGATTGAAGTTGGATTTATCTGTGATGGAACACTATGAAAGACATTGCCCACTGCCTGAAAGACGCTACAATTGTTTGATTCCTCCTCCACCTGGATACAAGGTGAACTCTTGCTCTAGTTTTCTACATTAAATGGAGTTAAGAAAATTTCATATGTTTCTTACCGTGCAGATTAAGGCATTATAAAATTTTTGGTTCTTGATGGTTTCAGACCCCTATCAAGTGGCCCAAAAGCAGGGATGAGGTATGGAAAGCAAATATACCACATACCCACCTTGCAACAGAAAAATCTGATCAGAATTGGATGGTTGTCAAAGGTGACAAGATTGTATTTCCTGGAGGAGGAACTCACTTCCATTATGGGGCAGATAAGTATATTGCTTCAATGGCAAATGTAAGTGATTTGTCCTATTCAGGAAGGAAAAAGAAAAAAAAAATTACAGGTTATTTGAATATATGAAACTTTCACTCTGATGAATACAGCAATAATCATATTTGTGTTTTCAACTGGCAGATGCTAAAGTTTCCAGACAACATTTTAAACAATGAAGGAAACCTCCGAACAGTTTTTGATGTGGGTTGTGGAGTTGCTAGTTTTGGAGGATACTTGCTTTCTTCTGATATCATTGCAATGTCTTTAGCCCCAAATGACGTTCATCAAAACCAGATCCAGTTTGCTCTGGAGAGAGGAATTCCTGCATATCTCGGTGTTTTAGGGACAAAGAGACTTCCTTACCCTAGTAGATCATTTGAACTTGCACATTGTTCTCGATGCAGGATTGATTGGCTTCAAAGGAATGGAATTCTTCTTTTGGAGCTGGACCGAGTACTCAGGCCAGGAGGTTATTTTGCCTATTCATCTCCTGAAGCATATGCCCAGGATGAAGAAGATCTGAGAATTTGGAGAGCAATGAGTGCCCTCGTGGAGCGAATGTGTTGGAAGATAGCTTCTAAAAGGAATCAAACTGTTATTTGGGTCAAACCCCTGACAAATGACTGTTACATGCAAAGAGAGCCTGGTTCTCATCCTCCCATGTGCAAATCTGATGATGATCCAGATGCAGTGTGGGATGTTCCAATGGAAGCTTGTATCACTCCTTACTCCAGTCGTGAGTACTTGTGCCCTTTACTCCTTTGTCTGGTATATATCTTCTGATCCCTTGTCTGGTATGTATCTTCTGATGTCCGCTTTGTCTATCCATGAAATACTACACAAATGTTGTAGAGAATTTTGAAGTTCTTGCGAATTTAGACTAAAGTAAGTACTTACAACTCTTATCATCTGCAAGCTAGAATTAAACATGGACTACTGATAAATATAAGTGCTGAAGAGAATAGTATAAAGTTTAAGGACTTTAGACTAAAGTCACTTTTCTACCAAATCTGCAAACTAGAACTAAACATGTATAACACTGCACTTTATTGAGATAGAAATGACTTTTAACTTTGAAGCCATTATTTTTGAAAGAAAAGCATACTTTAGAGTATAATCACTCTTGTAATCCTTTTCAATGAGATTTTCTAATTACCAAGTGCAATCTTCTGGTATCTTAAAATCATTGCATTTTATAAACTATATGCAGAAAGGCAGGATTAAGTATGGATTAATGATAGATTTTCTATCTATTCTTTTATATTTATGACAATTAGAGAAGTAAACCTCTATTATTACTTATCAGTAATACCGTATTAAATAAAGAGGAGAATTCTCTTTTAGCTGTTGCACATAAAATGTGTATTTGACAAAAGAAATATTGCTCTGCTTGCACCTTGCTTTCTTGTTGCATTATAAGCTGTTTCCATGCTAGAAAGATTAATATTGAAAGTTGACATTCTCTTTCAACCCAATCAGAAATCCAGAGAGCACAAGGGAGTGGGTTGGCTCCTTGGCCTGCTCGTTTGACTACTCCACCTCCTCGTCTTGCTGATTTGGGCTACTCTGATGAAATGTTTGTAAAGGACACGGTAATCTGTTACAAGACTTACACCTATTTACGTCTGCATGATATTTGCATTTATAAGCAAATACATGCATGAAGAAACTGGTTTATGGCAGGATTGATGTGTTGCAGGAACTTTGGCAGCGAAGAGTTGAAAATTATTGGAATCTTTTGGGTCCACATATTGAGTCTGATACAGTGAGAAATGTAATGGACATGAAGGCAAACCTGGGTTCATTTGCAGCTGCTGTAAATGACAAAGATGTTTGGGTTATGAATGTGGTGCCAGAAGATGGGCCCAACACTCTTAAGATAGTATATGACAGAGGCCTGATAGGAACCGTCCATAACTGGTATGTTAAAATTTTAAATTAGACAAGTAATTTGATTTTTTTTGTAGTTTAATATGTAACCACTTCATTTAGTATGGTCCTGCTTTGAGGGAGTAAGTAAGGAAAAGGAGAGGGTTTCAGCAAAGACATGTTCATCATACAGTCGGTTAGAGTTCAGAGAGGTCAATACTTATTTAGTTTTCTCAGAGCCTTAGCTCCCAGATTGAGGGAGTTATTAACAGCTAATAGAAAATTAAGTATCTGACGGCATGAATTTTTTTTTTTTTCCTTTCTCATATATTTCATTTTAGTCTGCCTTGAAGTATCCTATTTGTTGCTAAAATTCCTGTGCCGGCAACTAACAGGTGTGAAAGCTTCTCAACTTATCCAAGAACTTATGATCTCCTTCATGCTTGGACCGTCTTCTCTGATATTGAAAAGAAAGAGTGTAGCATCGTGGATTTATTAATAGAAATGGACCGTATATTGAGGCCAAAAGGTTTCATAATTGTTCATGATAACCGAACAGTAGTGGAGTTGATAAAGAAATACTTAGGAGCATTACACTGGGAATCAGTGGCGACAGCAGACTCTCAGTCGGACTCAGAGCAAGATGAGGATGATGCAGTGTTCATAATTCAAAAGAAAACGTGGCTTACAAGTGAAAGCCTCAAGGAATCGGAATAAATAAGTAAGACGACTGCAAAGTTCCAATCCAGGAAATGGCGATGCTGATTTCTACAATTGTATGCTCTTTCATTTATCTTCTATCTTCACTCTATAACATAATAGGCACATATCCAGAATGTTGACCCTATGTTCATTTCACCTTTTTTTTTATCAATTTATTTTCGTTAAATTCTTAGACTGCAAGAGAATTATTCTTTCAACAATTAATTTCTTTTAATAAAATGCATGATTACAATTTACACACTTCTGATAAAACATTTGATTCTTATTTATTTCTGAGCTTCACCTGTGTCAACAAAGAAAAATATATCAACACTGTATATTTCCTCCCACTCATTAATTGCTTCTGTGGCAGAAATCAGAATCAAAGGACCTAGAGCAATATCTGCTATGCAGAGATCAGAAAAAGAAGTACAAAATGCAAATTCCAACCATCAATCCAAAGAAGCCACATATCTTTAGTCAACTCAGCACTTTAAATTAGAAATAATTTTTAATCAAAGGCCATGTTCTCTTGATGTTGGTGTTGCTACCAAATAAATTGGAGTGGCATATTTTCTTTGACGTAACACTAATTACTAAGATTCGTAACAGATTACTCAATTTGTCAAAAACAACAAATGAGCCTACAAAATTGAGTTGAAATGTCCGAGACATATCTGCCTATCGAAAGAGCAGACCATTTCATTTTTCTTACATCAGGCTTGTAAAGGAATTCTTTCTTCATTCATTCATCTCAGGCAGATTTCAACTTGGATGATGTAGCAGCCAAATGGGAAAGGATTCTATGTCCAACCAACACAAGGAAAACTCCCAAGAAACCAAGTAGTTTTAGTGTTTGGAATAGATCCAACTGCACCCAATAAGATAAATAAAAAATATTAACGACATAATAAATATATATATATATATAAAAAAAAGGGCCACTGACTTTAGCCCAGGAGTTTAGTTTAAAGCCATATTTGGTGCATATGATGATAAATAAAATAAGGTGACAATCATTCCATACCATGTTAAGTTTGTATCTAAAGAAATAGATAAAATTGCAAGGAAGATTAATCATCCTTTTGGCATTGGATGATTCAATTCTCTTAAAATGGAAAAAATTATTTTTAATCCATGTGATTGAATTTACATGTCGTATTATACCCTTAAAAATTACATTAATAATTTAAATTGTATAAATTTTGAGAAAAGATAATTTTAACCAATAAATAAAATTATCCTATATAATCATTGCACACATCAAACACAAAATATGATGATATTATTTAATCTAATTTATATTCATAATATCATCTTATTCTATCTTATCATAATCTAGTTCATCAAACACACCATAAGTGTATATAATAATACAAATAATACTAACCTTCAACCAGAAAAGCACATAGAGCAACAGAACCGCTCCAATGCCAAAATGGAAGAGAATGGCAAATGTGGCAGGTACGGCTTTGGTAGGAAAGTTCTTCAGATTCACCCCTAAACGTAGTAGCTGTAAAAGCGAGCAATATTCACCCAGTACCATCAAAAGGGTTTCAAGATAGCATGAGCAGATTATTAAAGTAAATATTACTAACATATGCATGCATGCATGCATGCAAGAACCAGACAGAAACAGTTAAAAGCAGGCCTATTGCAATCCTCAATACCTTAACAACAAGATTGCAAATTGAAATGCCAAAGATCTCCTACAGAGATCGCTTACCAAGCTCCAAGAATGCTATTGAACCAAAACGCTTTTTCTCTTCCAGGCTGGATCTCAATAGCCCCAAAACCTCTTGTTGAGACTTTTTCATTTTCCATCCTAATAAATCCTTGTTTCTAAGATATTAAGCACCCAGTGGCTCTCCCCAAGAAAAATGCTATGAAAAATCCACAAGAAGGAGCATGCAGCATGCCACAGACACACAGATATGCATGAGTTATGAGAATTAAGTAGGGTAACACCAGTCTGAGTTTGTAACCAGAACCCAAAACAATTTCAAACAATTTGATCAAACATAAAAAAATTTTTAAAAAAATAAATTAGAAATTCAGATCTCAATAACTTTCTAGTTGAATGAAAATATAATAAGCAGCAAAACATGAAAGACTCACCCCAATCAAGAATCCAAGTGATGGCAAGATGGTAAAACCCAGGAAAACAAGAGAAAGTTCCTTAGGTGGCTGCTTTTCAGGAGCCCTGAAGATGTGTGTTATCTCAGCTTTGGGCCCATATCTTGAGTAAGGATCAGCAGACCGTGGAGGGGGCCGGGGCGCCTTCTCAGGTGGTTCTGGTAGATCTAACTCAATATGTCCAAGAGCTCGTAATAAAGAGTTCTCCTGAAAAAAGCAAAAGATATATATTTTATTTCAACATATTTGTGGACTAATGCAAATTGAAATTTTCTAAGAGCAAAAGCAACACCTACCATAACAGCATCACCAACAGTAAGCTTGATTTCATATCTACCAGAGAGATAGAAGAACTTCTCCACCAGCCCAAGAAAATTCTACAAGACAAGCCATATAGGATTAATATAAAAAAAATTATAAATAATACAAACATTTTAATCCATCATACACCTCAGAAAGATACTTAACTAGAACTATCTCAAACTGTTTTCCAGAGTTTCCAACCACAAAGATGTGCTCAACCTTGCTCTCATGTCTCAACTTGAACAATGCCTACAAACCACCAAACTTAGCAACGAACTGCTGTAAAGAATACCATTTGTTCAAAATGAAGACAACTAGAATTAGGAACCTGATGTGGCTTAAAAGCAAGTCCACGAGGAGTTGTCAACTGAAAGGATAGACGCAGCTTCTGGAGGTGGTTTGCTGATAATGATACAGCATTTTGTCCAGCTAAATCTAGCCTATATGCATAGGATGTTAGACCACGAATAAAACAAAAGGTCACAATTCAGTTAAAAAAAAATTCAAACACATTAGGCACTAACTTGTAAAAGTGTCATCAGATGTTATTATACAAGTACCCCGGACAGTCATCAATTATATCAATTATATGTACTATAAAAGCCAACAAAACATAAGCAAAAGAAACAGACAACATACTTTTTCTGTGTTTCTACGCTTGCAAGATCACTGTCAAGTACTGTAATTTCTGCATTTTCAATTTTGATAAGTCCTGTGACGTATATTTGTACTTCTGTTTGGCTTCCAGTATAATAAACCTTTTCACGCTCAGGTTCATGAAGAACAATCTAAAAAGTTTAAATTTCGCATGTCATGGAAAGCCAGATGAACGTAAAGCTTCAATCCATGAATAAACTACAAGAACAATACCTCAAAAACAAATGTGTAACTTCCAACATCAATACTCTTCGGCAAGTTGTTCAAGATATGTACACCAGCTTCCTCGTCAAACTTAAGTTCCTGTATTTGATAATATTTACAAACATTGAATCAAATTAAACAGAATAAAAAATGCAAAAATTAAAAACTTGTAGGCAGCAGAATTATATCCAACAAAATGAACACTACTTGAGGGAAAAACAGACCTGGCTTTCAACAAGAGACGCATCCTTTGAACCAGAATTAAAAGCTCCCACAAGCTTCACTGTTAGAGTTGGTGCATTTGAACCAAGCAAGGTGTTAACTCTAACCTGTTATATCAAAGAGTAGAAGAAGGAACAGTCAGTAATAACAAACCTATAAACCAGATTAAATGATTTCAAATCTGGTATAAATCAAGGAGGCTTAAGTATGTGAATGAAAATGAAAAAGGGATGAACAGCAAGTCAATGCACCAATAACATGCATCATGAATTGGATGCAGTTGAATAAGATAATAAAAAAGATCCTTTTTTGATAGAGAGACCAGAACAGGGGTCAGCATACACTACATCAAACATCACAAGTATCTTCAGAAGCAAAATGGAAATGCCACTAATACTTAATACAATCAATCCTTGGGTGGTAGATTTCTGCCACTTTAGAAGCATTTAAGTCACTACTTATTCATGTCAAGGATTTTAACTAGGGACAAACCTTGAGTGAGTCTTTTTTAGTCAACGAAAGCACCGTAGATGGAAGAGATAGGATCAGTGGGATAGAAAACCTGCATAGCAAGTTAAAGGTCCAGTGAGCTCCAGGGCTTCATTATGCAAAACCAACGAAAAGGGTGACAATGCCACACAAAAAATAATGCTCATCTCTGTGTCTCAAAAGATAAAAGGCAATCTCTTTGAGCCTCAAAAGACATAAAGCAAGTATTAAAACATGTATAGAAACACTATGCTCAATTCCAGAATATACAAAATACAGCTAAAAACTTCTGCAAACTAGACGTCTAGAGATATACAAATAAGCACGTTCATAATTTCTTACTTTCTTTCAACAGTCACCTAGAAACTTTATTATTCAATGGCAAAAACTAAACAAAGGTTAAGATATCACTGTCATAAAAAGATATTGAAATAATTCCATAACATGGTAGCAAAAAGAAATCTAATGTCATTATCAAATTATATTAAATAAATGCAAATACATTAAAACTGCCCAATAAAAAACCTTACCTGTCGCTTTCCAGACAAGATAAAGAGTCTATTTGGTTGAAGAAATCTTTGGCATCACCAGGAACTCCAATACCAAGAAAGAATTTAGCCAATCCGAGTATTTTGTCCCCTTGAAGCTGCAGACACAAACTAGAAGTATTTGAACACATTCCCAGACAAGTGGGTTAAAAAGGCATGATGAATAAGCTCTCCCAACAGACATTGAGACTTCCAGGAGTCACTGCTGCAAATGCTGTTAGCCCTCTAACAACAGATGAGGTGGTTGACAAAGGTCCTTCATAATCACGATCATCAAGTTGTTTATCATCAAAGTAAAGGACCCCATCATCTGAGAAAAGAGATAACTTGATTAACAGAGAATAAAAAGAAAACAAATTTCAGACTAGATAAGATTTAAAATCAGTAAAACTGTTCATCCTTTTTTGATTGAGAGATGATAAATGGAAAAAGGAAAAATTACATACCATATTTCTCAACAATGTCAAAAAGCTTTCTTATATCATTTTTTAGAGTATTGATCTGCCAACAGTAAGCAAAGATAAATTATGGAATGCCCAGACTGACAATAAAAATGGTTGACAGAGACAGATAAGAAGCAACCAAAACAAGACATTAAGATAAAAGCAAACTGTGCTCACTGGAGCAGAGATGATTTGATATCAAAAAAGAACATCATAAGAATAAACGAAGTAATAAATAAAAATATTTAAAAGTCACAGGAATATGGATGATTATCGATTCATTTGATAAGTCATGCATTATTTGCAGACCTAAAACATCCTTCTGCAGCTTATTAAGGTTTAAGGAGTTTAATCAGATGGCCTAGAGTTTAATATAACCCTCATCACTAAAGAAAGAGGTAGATCTATGATCAAAAGAAGGATAATCCACTTTTCCTTACAAGAGTTCCAATATAGCCCTCATTACAACATGAAGAATAATCGATAATCCACTTTTTCTCAACAGAATAATTTAATAATTTAGAAAACCCTAAAGAATCCGATATCTGGTCTGGTATATACTAATCCCTACTTATGTTTCTATAAAAAACCAGAATTAATACCCATCCCCATCTCCAAGTTAGATATCCCAGATGATGTCGCTAGAGAATTAAGTAAACCGTTAAAAAAACATAGGACAATAAATAATCAATCCAAATCCAAAGCTAAAAAACATTGTTTGCCTACCAAAAAGGAGGTAAATGAAGATTAGTGAGAGAGCAACTTATCATCCATTTAGAGCTAATAAATGATTCAGAATCATGAACTGGTCAAAACTTTTACCAGATCAAAGCAAGCAACATTTACTACTTACCAAAGATTGGTCAATTTCTGAAGATGCTAATGAAACAATTCCAGCAAGTGTTTCAAGGGCTATTCCTGCAAGAATATGACGAGCCTAAATAAATAAGTATCATACAACTGAGTTGAACAATAATAAATGGGAAGAAGAATAAGCAACATTTATTGTAGAGCTAACATCAGTAATATAACAAGCCATTTGGTGATTCTGCAAGACATTGTCTAGGGAAAACAAGTTACAGAATTTAGATAAATCTTTACCAGAAGCAAAGGCACTAGACTCGGGGTTATTTGAACTATAACGCCACCTGCCATCACTCTGGCTGAAAGCCTGACAACAATTTGTAACATAAAATCATCCATCCATGACAAATATATGTTGCAACTGAAATCAGGCCATAGAAGTTAGCTGAAATGGAAATGTTAAAATAAATATAATAATGGAAGTTTGAGTCAGTTCAAGAAGTAAGCCACCTCCACAAACCCAAATCTCATCACATCAATAACAGTCCGACTAAAAAAAATATAGGCCTCAGCCCGCCCGGAAAGGCCCAGCACCATATCTTAACCTCACCATTAAACTAAATCTAGTAATAGCAACAAACCTTGACTGAGCGGAAAACTCCCTCAGCGTCAGCAAGATGAACATCAGCTTTAGAACTCTGATCCTGCATTAACAAACAATGCATTAGAAGGTATGCAGGAAAAAGTGAGAAACAACTTAAAAGCTATAGAACCTGTAGAAAAGAAGCAGGGTAAATAAGGTCTCACGATCAACATAACAAGCTGAAGCATGTGTATATAAATCATCTAGAAAACTCATAAAATTTCTTAAACTGCAAGCAGAGAAAAGGAGTAAATCATAATAACCCATATACCGCAGGCATTCATTACCTTGATAAGTACCAAGCCTCCTACTGAATAGTAGAAGTCAAGCAACAAGCTTGCACCCTTGATGGCAGCATTAAGTCTTGTAATAATACCCTTTTGCAAAGGAAAAATAAAAAAAAAAATTTAGGTTCCAGGTTTAACAAAGTTTAAAGCTCTTGAACCACATTTCAGCATGCAAAATTCAAATAATACCTGAGAAGCTTTCTCGTTTATCTTGCATTTAGCTATGCTATTCGCTTTTAAAGCATAGAAAAGTTCCTTTGGGGCTGAAGATGATGACCCAACGGTTTCGGAAATTGAACGGCACGCGGTGGCGGTTACATCAGGCTTCTTTTCAATTCCAAGAAGCTCAAATGTTCTTAGGGCCTCGTAGGTCTCTTCTAAGCTGGTGATATCAATTACATCAAATAAGATAGGCATTCCTAAAACCCTAATCTAAAATATATTTTTTCTACTTCGAACTCAAACAAAAAAGAAACTAAAATCTCAAATTCTCATCATAAATTAAAAAAAAAAGAGTTTAAATTAATTAAGTTTGACCTTCAACGGCATTTATTCTCCATTTTCACCCAATTTCTTTTCTTAACATCTAAACGTAGAAGTCAAGAAATCGTATGTTACAAAAGATTAGGGTTTGAGAAAACCTTTTAAAGGATCCATGGTCGGGAGTGAAGAGCTCAAGAGCGGCAGATCCATGAGAATCGGAGATCGGTTGAAAAAGCGAAGCCGCTTCGCAAATCGATACGAAGAGTAAGAGAACCAGAAATCCAGATAGACTTCTGGGCATTTCCTGCAATCAAAATCCAACACATTCTCACTTAATCAACCGCCAAAAAACGGAAGTTTATTCTTGCAAATAAATTTTTTTACAAGATTTGAAAATTTGAAAAAGATAGAGATAATTAAGGAAAACCCTAGGGTTTAGAAATATTTTATATCGAGGAAAAAAAATAAAAAAAAACGTACGAGAAATGTCGAAGAAATTCGTCTGTATTTTTTTTTTTTTTTTAAGTCTTCGCAATCTTTGTTGTACTTAAGAGTGACGGGAAGAGTTTCGACTACCTATCGAAAGTAAGTGGTAGGAAGAAAAAATTGAATTACGCAATTTGTCCAATTTTAAGTTTAACCCAAGCTTGACCCACGAACATTTCTGACTGGGCCAGAAAGGTTAAGGCCCATCTCAAATAGGCCCAGTTTTTTACTACGCTCGTGGAGTTTAGAGTGTCACGTCAAATTGAATTTGGGTTCAAGCAGAACATTCTCCCTGAAATTATAAATAAAGTCAAGGTTAAGAAAATTTATGTTTCCTTCCTTAAAAATTATAAACAAAATCTTAATTTATTTTCTTTCTTAGTTTTTTTTGGGAACTTATAAAAGAAAATAAAAACCAGAATTTTTTTATTTATTTATAAAGTTAACAGTATTCAATCGATTTTTTATTTTAGTTTAATTGTATATAAGTAACTTCAACGTTCTATTCAATTTAAAAAAAAAAAAGAAAAAACCTCAAGGGCCAGCCCGATTAAACTACTATTGGACCCTAAATCGAAGGTCTACCCTGAAAAGCCCAACATGATTCAATTGCTTAACGTAAAGTATATTGATTATAACGTGCAAAGGATTTTTTTTTTTTAATGAAATTATGTATAAAAATAATTACAATTATAATTAAGTATTGTATCATATAAAGTTACAACTACTAAGTAATCAATTAATAAATTAAAATATAATTAAATAATTAAACACGCACATAATAGGATTTAAACCCAATACTTCGCACTAGGACTTTCTTTTCGGAATAGAACCAAAACTTCATTGGCAACATATAAAGGATTATTTTAGGCGTGTTTGATTTGTTGAATTTAACTCTTTTTCTCAAAATTTTATTTTACCATAATTTGATTTTTTTGTTTTGCTCAAAAACTTTTTTCCCACACTAAAAATCTTACAATCTCAATAGTTTCAAAAAAAAATCAGAACTCCTTATCTCTCTAAATTCTTTTAAATGCAAGAAGGAAAGTAAAAAATTTTCTCTATTTATCATCGCTTAATTATATTTTTACACTATATTAATTTTTGTAGTCTTATAAAATTACAAATGAAACATGATTTTTATTATCTTTAAAAAATAAAAACAAAAATAAATAAAAATTTTCAAAAAAATGTAATATTTTTTTTATGATTAATTTTTTAAATATAAGGAAAAAACTAAGTGTTTTGGTTTTACTTTGTAGTTATATGGGATTTTTTTATTTTTTTCTCATATGGATTTTATTACTAGCTATTATCATAAACGAATTTTTTTTAAAAGGATGTTTGATTTACGAAATATTATATTCTAAAAAAAATTATGATCAAGTGCAATACTTGAAGATTTCTTTCATTTTAAGAACATTTCATATTCAAATTTATTCGTATATATTACTTATTATATAATTACTATAATTTTTTGATATATATGATGAAAACTTTTTATTTTGTTGTATTAATAATAAATAACAAAACAACAAATGATGCATTCGGCAACAAAATAATACCTAAATATTTTAATAATTTAAAATTATTTAAAATATTTAAATAAAATGATTATTTTTAAAATATTTAATTAAAAATTTACGATTATTTAATTAAAAAATAAAAGAATTATTTTATTTAAAACGTTTCTATACAAAAAACGCTTCAAATAATTTTTTAATTTTTATGATACTTTAATTAAAAAAATTAAAAAAATTTTAAGACGTTTCTATACAGAAACACTTTAAATAAATTTTTTATTTTTATGATCATTTTAATTAATAAAATTAAAGTTTATTTAAAGTGTTTCTGTTCAAAAAATGCTTCAAATAATTTTTTTATTATAACAAGATCCTTTAGTAAAAAAAATTAAATAATTATTTAAAACGTTTATGCATAAAAATGTCTTATATAATCTTATGATTTTTAAGATCATTTAATTAAAAAACTAAAAAGATTATTTAAGATATTTTTATACAAAAAACATCTTAAATAATGTTTATTTTTATACTCTTTTAATTAAAAATAATAATTAAAACTTTAAAATATTTGAAACTTTGAAAAAAAATATAAATTTGTGATAAAAATAAAGCTAATATAAAATATAAATTAAAAAATATATAAATAAATACCTACAAAATAATAATATTTGATATAAAATCAATTAAACTTAAGATAAAATCTTAATTTTAATCAATCAAGGCCCATCTATTATTTTATTGTAAAGAGAGATGTGCCATATATATATATAGATAAAAATATGCCATTCTTGGGGTCATCATGCATCATAAACTTAGAGAATGTACCAATTGATTGGAGTTGACGTAGACCGTGCCCGAGTATAAATTTGTTTCTTTCTTTCTATGCGTTTTAAATAATTGGCTTACACCTTGCTTATTCTGACTTTCGAATATAAGTTTGATCACTTTTTTTTCCGGCGTTTGAATTAGAAAACTTAGAATAATTTTTTTAAAATAATAATAAAAATTTTAATTTTATATTTTTATAATTTTGTTTTATATTCAAATATTTTAAATAATTTTATTATAAAAAATTAAATAATTGATTAAATTAAACAATTAATATAATTATTATTTAAAGCATATTTAGGACACAAATTTCATATTTGATGATTATTTAATACGTTTTTTAAGAACAAATATATTAAATGATCATTAATTATGATGTTTCTTTAACTCAAATACATTAAATGATTGATTATTTAAGATATTTTTTCATGTCAAATATCATTAATTGTAATATAAAAAATTTTAGCACTAAAAATCTATAACTAAATTGTAATCACTTTCAAATATGCTTTTTAAAAGAGTAATATTTATTTCATAATTTTTTATTCAAATCAAATTTGAAAATAATATAATTTTTTCTCTAAAATCTTAGAATACTACAAATAAATATAAATATGTGAATCAAATATCTACTATCAAAATTTCAAAATAATTTTGCCAATTCTTTTGAACTAAATGTCCCATAAGAGTAATCCAAAAACAAAATTTACAAGGGAAACATTTATTTGTACCCCAAGAAATGCTCTCCACAATTCAATTTTTTTATTACAAAAATTCTTTTAAATAAAATTACTTAATTAATTTTTGATAAATTACCTTTTAACTTTTCGTACACTTATATTTACTTATTCTTCTAAAGTTTCTGGATTTGCATTTTGAAAAGTCTTTAAAGTATCTCAATTTGCATTTTCTAAAACTTTTAAAAGTTTTTAGATTTGAACTTTCAAAAACTTTTATTTGCATTTATTAAAAGCTTTCGAATTTGCATTTTTAGTAGTTTTAAAAAGTTTTTTATTTGCATTTTTGAATATTTTTACAAGTTTTCAAAAATGTAAAATCTGAAAACTTTTAAAGTTTTTTTATTTGCATTTTGGAAAGTCTTTAAAGTATCTCAATTTGCATTTTCTAAAACTTTTAAAAGTTTTGAGAAAACCTTTAAAATTTTCTAAAAATACATATTAAAAACATACAATTTCATGTATGAAATTAAAGGGACATAACAAAAATCAAATATATAAATTAAAATATGAAACTTGGTGACTTGATTAACTTTTGAAATTTAGTGATTTTAAATTAATTTTAAGGGTTTATGGATTGAAAGATTAGGGTAAATAAGTTTTTGAAAGGGAAATGGTGTGAGAGAGATGTAATAATGTATAGGGGAAATGAGATTTAAGGGTTATAGATGTCATAAGTAAAAATAAAAATTAGTTTAACTTTTGGATTTGGGTAGTAATTAATAATACGATGCGGAGAATATTTTTGATTAAGGTAAATAGAGGCTTTTTTTTTTTTATTACCTTTGGGTTAGAAAAAAGGCCAAAATGCCTAAAAAAATGTTGGTAGTTTAAAATGTGATGTATTTCACATTTGATATAAATATTTAATTATCGATGAATAAAATTAATTTTTGTATTAATTTTATTTATATTTTAAATAATTATGTTTGAATGTAAATAATTATCATATGACAAAATGATCATAACTATTTAAATATAAATAGATTATTATTCATAGAGATCATGATTATACGGAATGTTATAACTATCTGAATAAAAATTTATGTCTGTTCATTCATTATAAATAAATATTTTAATATAATAATTTTTACTACTTTTGATTGAAATATTTGAGGCTTTATTGTATCCTAAAAGTATAATTGCCTTTAAGAATGTGTTATTCTGGCTTCAAAGCTAAAATTCTTTTCTATTATTCATCTTCTCTTATTTATTTTATCTAACAATTTAAAGGTAATTATGATAATTTTATATTTCGCACAATAAAAAAACAAAGAAAATAAATTGGCATGATTTGGAAATCAATATTAGATGAGGCTCAATGTGGTAAAGGATTAATGTTTTTATAGACCAAAATATTAATTTTCATAAAGATCTTCATTAAAGGTATGTATTTTATTTTTTGCATAATTGCTGGTAAAAAGATTAATTGAATGAGATAACACGTTAATAATTTATTTATTTAGTGTGTAAAATCAAAACACAATATGCAAAATATTGATCTCATTGCATAAGTTTATGTATATATTAAAATTGACTAAATAATTGGGTTTAATAAATTTTATTATATTTATTTGAAAAATCAATACTTATAAAGACTGAGATAGAAAATAACCTAAAAATATATTAAAAAAAAACATGAATTGATTTACAATCAAAAGAATTATCATTTGTTGTCAAGTAACGAATTAAATTGGATCTTAATAGAATGGTTGATTATTTAATTGTCATATCTTTGTTATATATAGAACAGGCCAAATTGTCCCATGGTTTCTATAGAAAATAATTGAAAATGGGTAAAAGAATTTACCATAAAAAGAAATTAGATGCAAATAGATAATATATGCAAAAAATTAGACTTGGCTACAAGATTAGTTTTATTATTAAATCATAACACCAAATTTGAGATAATAAGTTGAGTTAAGCTATTGTATGATTCGATTTTTGTTTGTCGTTTATAAATCAAATGTTGATATATATATTGTTAAAATTTATTATTGGTTTAAATTTTGACTAGTGTTTAATTTTCATGAAAACCAATTAAAATTAATTTGATATATGTGAATAATTATTATTAAGATATGGTGGTTCATTGATTAATTGGTGGATAATAAACAAAAAAATGATTATTATCGAAAACATGAGCAGGGTGACATGTATTTTGCCTACTGAGTGTATTACACTATAAGTAATTTTACAAAATAAAATTTTATTGTGAACAATCACAAAGTGAAAAATCATAAAAAACCGTTAAAAAGTTAATCAACGGTTAGAAAAAAGCATTGTTACTTTTCGCATATGGAATATTGATTAAATGAAAAGGCATGCCATTAAAAAAATATTGAAGCATTTGTTAGTTACTAGCATTTTGAAATATGCTCATCAATGTCTAATTAGACATGTTTATAAATTAGAAAAGAACATGCAAATTCGATGTTCCAAAAGCATCAATACATATAAGTGTTTAATTCCCTTTTATGATGGCATAGAAAACATTTGTACAGTTTACCATATATTACGAAAATAAACTAAATGATATGAAATTTTCATTCTTATACATATAAGAAGGATATGGACTATGGAGATAAAATACCATCATCTAATTAATACATTATTGGTTAAAGACAATGAAGGTATTTTTACTTATTGTAAAAAAAAAAAGACATTTTACAAGCTGTTAAAATGAAAAGTGAACAAGTTTTCGAGATTTTCAATAGTTTCATGATAATGGCAAGGATGTGGCTAGTTTTATACCATATTAACATATGAGCTTAAATAATAATATTGATTTGTGAAAACTGTAACCCTTAAACTTAACCAATCAATGATTTAACTTATACAAGTTCATTATGAATTTTTGTATGAAATATGAATAGAACTTATATTATAATTATTGTTTATACTATTTTATGAGAATGATTATTTGGATTCATGTTTCATGAATTGTATTGATATGATAATCTAGATATGAACATATTAGTCACAAAATGATTGTAAAAGTATTTAAAATTTGAGTTGAATATACTATAGACTCTTATTGTATACAGGCATATTGGTCTTATAAGTAAAATTTAAATTTATTGTATATTCGAAAATGTTTTAACCAATTAAAAGTGGTAAATAATAGAGATATATAGGCTACACAATAGTGAAAAAATAAAGTTCTCATGAAATTTTGAAATCAAGTTTTGAGATTTCAATATTCATGAACTTGGAATTAGCCATTAGGTAATTACTATATGCATTAAAAACTCATTATAACATTTGAGATAGTTGGTTTTCACTAAAAGCCTTCATTATAAATGAGATAATTTTAATAATCAAATCTACATGATTTGTAGGTACGATGTGGATTATTATGGTTAGCTTAAAATAGCCATAAGCCAAAATTGATGCCACTATTTTGATCACATTGTGGTAATAATTTTTTATGTATATAGTCTAATTCATGGATTGTACAAATAATTTATCATCTATAATCTTATATAGTAAAAATTTCAAAATATATTTACTCTGAAAGTCATGAGTGATTCAAATATCTTATGAATTTAAAAACTTTTGTAATAGTAGAAATAATGCTATTTGATCCATTTAAGTGATCAAAATGATTTTGTTCATGATAATAAAAAATTATTAATAGTAGCCATGATGAAATGATTTATATAAATATTTATGAATTGATATAAAAGTCTTAAAAAGATACTATAGAAGCATGATTATATTTGAAATCTGCTTATAAAAATTTTGAAACTTCTATTGAACTATTAAGATATCAACTAATTATCTTTCACTAAAGGTGGATTTGGAGGCTTATTACTTAAAAAAAATCACTAAATAGTGAAAAAATAAATGGAATGACAACTTGATTAAGTATATATGATATTTTAATAATTGAATGAGATATTCTTGAATAAAAGAATGCATACTTGCACATGATAAGGGTGATAAGAATAAAAAGAAATAAAAATTACCATCATAATGCTGTAAGATTTAGTATAATTTTATGAGCAAATTATACAAGCTAATAAGTTTAAATCTTATTAAAGTAAAGTCATAAAAAGATCCTTAAAAATTTTAAAATGACTAAAATCGTTTGATTTATTCATTAGTTTATCCAATTGTATTTTAAGTATAATTGTATTAAAAATATATAAATGGTTGAAAATAGAATGGTTGAAATTAATAAATATAGAGTTGTGGCCATAACTAAAACTAACTATTTCTTAAAATGATAAGATGAGGCAACAATGTATGGAGCATATAAATGATATGAAAAATGAAAAGTTTGGACATATTAGCCTGAAGTGATTATATTCGAGATTCAATTTCAAATGAGGGTAATTACCACAAAAGAAAATTGAATTTCAAAATATTTGGTTAGTAATACTATAAGTAGAATGGATTTAAACCTTTACTATTAGACACCGATAATAGAAACCCAATTTTGAATTATTAACCTCTAATTATAAAGTTTAATGGGTAAAAATAAATTATTATTATGTGTCTGTTAAACATTAGTAAAACCCATTCAAATTTTAGAAACTAGTTTGATCTATTAGTGGGAATGATGAGTTTTTATACTCTTAATGGAGTTTTAAATGTCTAAAGTAATGAAAAACATAATGAAAACTCTACCCATATAAATATATAAGTGGCGTCGCTTCAACAATAAGAGTTTGGGTCTCTCTTATAAATGTTTATGAATAAGATAAACATATAGTCATAATAGTGCTAAAAGTTGTTATAAACTTTTGACAAAACAATAAATAAGTATTATGTGTGTTATATATTCAATTATAATACTAGGAGTTAAGGTTTAATTTGCGGATACCATCAACTTCATTAAATTTATAAGATATATACGCTAATTGAAAATTTAAATCGATATATACTTTTTTATAATCATAATATTTTTTTGTATAAAAGGTAAAAATTAAGCACAAACATTCCAAACTAGTGGGAGATTGTTGGTAGTTTAGAATGTGATGTATTCCAAATTGAATAGAAATATTTAATTATTGATGAACAAAATTAATTTTTGTATTAGTTTTATTTATATTTTAAATAATTATATTTGAACATAAATAATTATCATATGACAAATAGTCATAATAATTTAAATACAAATAGATTATTATTCATAAATGTCATGATTATAAAAAATGTCATAACCATCTAAATATAAGTTTATGTCTGTTTATTCATTATAAATAAATTTTTTAGTATAACAATTTTCATTGCTTTCAATTTGAGAGTTTAAGGCTTTGTTATATCATAAAAGCATAATAATTGTCTTTAAGAAAGTGTTCTTCGCACTTCAAAGCCAAAATTATTTTATATTATTCATATTCTCTTATTTATTTGTTTTAACAATAAGTCCATTAATTACATAGATTAACATTTTGAAAATGGTTAAATATTCATTTGCTTATTATACTGGATACTTTCAATCAATTTGATACCTAAAGAAATAAAATTAACTATTTGGTACTCTAACTTTCATCCCATTATCTGATTTGATATCTCGAACTAACTCCATCGATCAATTTGCTGACTTAACATGAATATATAATAAGTCTAATTAATACGACATCATCAATTGTCATGTTACTATTAAAGAATTTTTTTTAAATCTAAAAATATTTTAAAAATATGAAATATTTAAAAAATTTCAAAATTTTAATAAAATAAAAAATTATATAAAATTTTAAAAGTAAAAATTTATTAAAATTCAAAAAAATTCACAAAACTTTAAATTTATGAAAAAATAAATAAATTTTTTGAAAAAATTTGAAAGTTTTAAAAAATAAAAAAAGCTGAAAACATTATTAAAAAATTATAAAAAAAATTTAAAAGTTGAAACATTCTAAAAAAATTGTAAAAAATTTTACAAAATTTGAAAATAGAAAGATAAAAAAATCTTAAAATTTTAATAAGAAATCAAAGAAAATTTTAAAAAATTAAAAAATATATAAATTTTTTAAATAAAAGTAAACATTGATTGAAACTAAAGAAAATTTTATTTTATTAAAGTTTTCATTTTTTATATTCTTGTTGAATTGTTTAGAACTTTTTTGAAATTTCTTGGATTTTGTTTTAATTTTTAATTTTTAGATTTTTTGAATTTTTTAGATTTTAGTTAAAATTTTAGATTTTTTTATCTTTTTAATTTTTATAAAATTTTTAATATCTTACAAAATATTTAAATTTTGTAATCTTTCAAAAAATTTTAAATATTTTCAGATTTTTAAAAAAATTAGATTTTTTAAATTTTCTTTTTTTTTTGTAAGTTTTTGTTATTTTTTTGAATTTTTAAAAAAATTATTTTGATTAAAATCTTCATTTTAAATTTTTTTTTGGATTTTCATTAAAAATTTGAATTTTTTAAATCTTCATAAATTTTTTAAAAATTTTGAAAAATTTTCATTTTATTAAAATTTTTAAAAAAATTAATTTTTTTTGAAAATTTAAAATTTTTAATGCTTTTATGATAATTAAAAATGTGACGTTGATTAAAATTTTAACACGTATTTATATCTCATTAAATTTGTATGCTTAATAAATTAACTGTTGATATTAATTCGAAATATAAAAGTAGAAAATGAAATAAAAATTAAAATATTAAGATAATATTTTATTTCTTTATTACTAAATTGACCAAAAAAAGAATTATGGTACAGGAGCTAAACGTTTATTTGTCCCTTTTGAAAACAGAAAAAGGGTAAAGTACTGATTGGTATTCGCACCTCTCCCCCGGAAAGCAGTTGACATTCCAATCACTCACTTTGAATCCACGTCTCTCTGGCTGCCCCACCCAAACCTTTCACCATCTGATTATTCCATCCCACCTATCTCTCCCTAAATTTCCCCTCAAAAAAATTTTCAAAGAAAAAACCCTATGCCCATCACCCTCCTCCGCATTTCCAAAACATGTCGTTCGATGAAGAGGAGTCTCTCGAGCACACCCTCCTCGTTGTACGCGAAGTCTCTGTCTACAAAATCCCGCCCCGCTCCACCTCCGGCGGCTACAAATGCGGCGAGTGGCTCCAATCCGACAAGATCTGGTCCGGTCGACTCCGGGTCGTCTCCTGCAAGGACCGTTGCGAGATCCGATTAGAGGATCCCAACTCGGCTGAGCTCTTCGCCGCTTGTTTCATCCACCCGGGCCAGCGCGAGAGTTCCGTCGAGCCCGCTCTCGATTCCTCTCGATACTTCGTGCTCAAGATCGAGGACGGCAATGGGAAACACGCGTTTGTCGGACTCGGGTTTAATGAGCGGAACGAGGCTTTTGATTTCAACGTGGCGTTGTCTGATCACGAGAAGTATGTTAGAAGAGAGAACGAGAAAGAGACCGGTGAGACGAGTGAGAGTGATTCTCATATTGATATTCATCCTGCTGTTAACCATAGATTGAAGGTAGAAATTTTCAAGTCTTTTACTTTTCAGTAGATTTAAACCTTTAATTTTGACTGATTTTTGAATGTGGGTTGATTTATTTGTTTTGTTGATTTCTCATATTTTTCATCGACTTGTATAAAATTGTTGGTTTAAAACGTGATTGAGTTGAGAATCTGGGGCTTTGTAGTGGGATCCTTTTTTTTTTATTGTTTGAGCTACTTAAGTGAATTTGGCTTTATATTTTGAAAGATCGTGATTTTATGACTGTGAGCAAAGGCTGATATATAGTTGATTGAATGGTTCTATTTATAATTTATTTTGTATATTTGTAGTTTGATTAAGTATTGAGTTTGTTGTTGTTTTGGATATTGGTGTTGCTGTCTTAAAGAATCTAAATATTGTGGAGAGATTATGCAATTTCTTTTTTTGTCAATTTGCCATCTTAAATAAATAATTTATAATATTTATTTTTTGTAGGTTCTGTTGTTTTGATAGTTCAAGTTTTGCTGATTAATGATATAAGTAAGGGTTTTAATTGGATTCTTCGGTTGTCATTTGCACTTAGTTGTTTTTAGATTTATGCTCTGAAGAGTAAAATTTAGTCTTTTTTTTGGTTTATTATTGATCTGTTGTAAATACTGTTTTTCATTTTATTTTAGGTGAATTTTGATCTTATGGTGTTTTGGGTTATAGGAAGGTGAGACTATCCGGATTAATGTGAAGCACAAGCCATCTACTGGAACTGGCATGCTTTCAGCCGCGGGATTGTCAGGAGGGCTTTCTGGTAGCGGAAAGCCTAAGACTTTGAGCCTTGCCCCACCACCCAGTGGTGCGGGAAAAATAAGGTCTCCTCTCCCACCCCCTCCCAATGACCCTGCTGCTGCTCGGATTTCCTCTGCTAGTCAAGGTGTTGGCCAAAGAGCTCCCAAGGAAAACACGAGACGAACTGACCCTTTAACTGATTTTTCTCAACTAGAGGTATGGATTTAATATGATCCGTTAACCTGATATTTGTTTCATGTGCACTACATAAAAAATTTTCAAATTTTGATGTCTTTTTTCTTGAATTTAGCACTGTGAGGGAATTGGTTATCATAATTCGTACACCACATGCCTGATTTTTCTTTGTTGGATAGAAATTATACTTGTAGCTCTTGGCAAGTACTGTTGTGCCAACATTTCTATGATTCTGTGTCTTAATTGTTTATAGACATTGTATGGATTTAGCCACATTGACTTCCTTTATGTTTTACTGTGATAATTGCTCTGTGCTAAATCAATGCATATTGTTCCCTAGTAGTGGAAATGATGTGAGAATAGGTTCAGAATGGAAGCTCTAATGTAAGAAATGGAATTATTTTTTGGCTTCTTTTTTTTTCGTACTTGATTGATTTATGGATATTTTCTTGGGTACTATTTACCTGGATGATAAATGTATCGTATATTAGGAGGCTGCTATATTTCTTAGTAACAGAAACTCCTTGTTGGTTCCACATTTAACAACATTGGTGACATGTACAGAGGAATCTTCCTGCTACTGGGTCAGGATCTAAGAAGACCACTGCATCAGGATGGGCGGCTTTCTAATTGTGTGAACATTTGTTGAGCATGTATGATCTTTTGTTTGATGTTTTTGATATTTGAAAAAGAAATGAAGAAAAAAGAAAAAAAAAAATCAAAGAAAGTACAGGGTACCAAATACTTCCATGTTTGGAAAATAATGTTTCCAAGATCATATTGATATGCCACTTTTGTCTTACTTGAACTTGTTGGTATTGTTTTATATTATTTAATTATAATATAATAGAAAATTTTATTAATTTTCTTTTTCTGAAAGGTAATGATTTTCTTTTAAATCTTGTAAATTGATATGTGACGTGTATTTCCATGGCCGGCTTTTCAACAAGACTCTCACTCGGGATTCCTCCATTTGGACTATGCTCTTGAAATAATTTATTTATCTAAACTGCTCAACCATCATAACTAGCATTTAAATGTTCATTAACATGCTTCCTGAATATAGAGGAAAATAATTCTTTCACAGTGGATTTTCTAATTTACTAGTGTGATCTAGGGAAGGCTAGCTTTAGTCTATAATAGCATATGAAGTAATTCAGCAACAAAGGGAGAAAAGAAAAAAGGAAAGAACATCAGGGACATCAAATGAGTAAACATTGAAGAGAAGCCTTCAAAAAATTAATTACATTATATATATGCCTCGTTAAGGCACATAAAAAGGAAAAAAAAAAAATCCTCTTCCTTTTGTATCCACCTACCCTTGATTTTGTCCTACTAGTACCAAAATAAAAACCCTCAGGAGAGTAACTCCTGCGCGTTTACTCAATACAGTGAAAGAGAACGTTGTTAATGTAAAAAGCGCTGCAAAGTGCAAACAAGAGCACCAAAAATTTATTGACTTCTTCTGATTTCCCCCTGCGACAAAAAGCACTGCTGCCACTATGAAACTGGTAGGAATAGGAAAATTCAAACTACTTGAGCAGTAGGATTGATGTATGGGAAAAGAAGTAAAATATGAGCGCTGTTGAAGCAATTAGTCTCTGGATAAAGAAATTACTATTGTCGATACTCTTGCTTTAGAACCCAAAGAGATCCATTTGGATCCCTCTCTAGTTTAGCAATTTCCTTTAATAGATTCTTAAACAAAGGCAGATTGTTTGAGGGTATTCTGTCCTTGAAGTGATCCACAATGCTGGCTGAATCAGTGCTTCCACCCCTTTGTTGTATAAATGTACATATCTGACGTATCAAAACTTCAGGCTGCACACTTGATATATTAGAAGATGACCTAGAAGTCCCGTTAACCACAGATCTAGCCCTGTGAGAAGAACTTGAAGCCAATCCAAACTGATGTTCAAGCCCAGCACCAACTGCTTGTTCTTGGTTCCCACGAATTCTAGCTAGCAATTCTGCTGAAGATAACGCCTTCCCAGCGGCTGCCCCAGCTGCCATGCCACTGCTAGATGACTCACCTGCGGGTTTTAGTAACTGAGAGTTCAAAGTTGAGCCAAATTTCTTACCAACTGCTGATGGTGCACCTGCGGCTCCTGATTTCCCAGTCCAAGTTGGAATAGAAATACTATCATGGCTTCGAAGCAATCGTGACTGGCGTAGTGCTTCTGCTGCTCTTTGTGCCACCTGTGAAGCCTGTTCCTCAAGCCTCATCTTCTCTTCATCATTGGCGTTCATGATGGCATCATGGTTCACGGCACTCTGTGGGGAAAAGAAAAAATTGAAAATGAAAAATGTCAAGGAAGAACACGTTTCATCTTTTTGATGGATTTAGCAAGAAATTTTCAATTCTAATGCTTTACAAGAAGAGATATCCTAAACAAAATAGTGAAACTACCATTAGACGAAGGAGATCATTATTATATTATAATTTGAGACATATCTTACATGGATCCCGTGGGCATCAAAAAGGCTCCTCAAAATGTTTTTTTCTTCATCTACTTCACCATCACTATGATCATCTTTTTCTTTTCCTTTCCTAATTGAAAGAGCAGTGTTTGAGCAATTTCCTTTTCCTCTGTCAGCATTACCAGCTTGAGGAACAGCAGCTTTCGAATGTTCCTGCTTATGCTGCGTATCTTTCTGAGCACCTATAATATTTACATCTTCAGACAACTGGCTGAAAATATTAGATGTTTCAGTTGACCCACTCTCCCCATTATCTTTCAGGGTGAAAAGATCCTTCATATCTCGAGCTTTAAAGAACCTTCTCTGCTGGGGGTTCTTCAATATCTTATTGGTAAGAAAATGTTTGTAAATTTGCCGATGGTACACCTTCTCCTCAATTGTTCCACGAGTAATCAATCTATATACAGTTACATCTCTTTTCTGGCCAATTCGCCAAGCGCGCTCCCTGGCCTGTTATAGGTGATAGCCATCACCACAACAATTGTGAAAAGTGAAAACCTTCTAAGAGGAATATCAAGCAAAATGCAGCAAGATCCATCACATGTCTATTTTTTTTCCTTTGTATAAATTCATCTGACTTAAGATGCTTTAGGCCTGTTTTGTTAAATCTTAAAAATATGTCAATAAAAAAGAAGAATTGATCAAAAGATACCTGCATGTCCGTTGATGGGTTCCAATCAGGGTCAAAGATGATCACCCTGTCTGCACCTGTTAAATTTGTTCCTAAACCACCAACCTTTGTTGTCAGAATGAAAATGAATATATCATCAGAGTTATTGAATTCATCTATTAAGGCCATTCTCTGTTTTACAGGGGTATGTCCATCCATTCTTCGGTAGTCATAATCACTACTAATTAAGAAGTTTTCAAGAATGTCAAGCATTTGCTGTGTTTGAGCAAACAAAAGAACACGATGGCTCTGCTCCTTCCAAACCTTAAGCACTTGGGCAACAACTTTCATTTTTCCACTGCGTTCAGGATTTCCATAGTCTGGATTCTGGCAGGAATGCTCTCTTTCAAGAAGATCAGGATGGTTGCATATTTTGCGCATCACATCAATCCCATAAAGAGAATTTCTACTGCCATCCAATATTTGTTCCACCTCGGAGCTAGCCAGAAATGCTCTATACACAGATCTTTGTTCAGCAGTAAGGCTACAAAAAAGTACATGTTCCGTCTTTTTTGGCAGTTGGGCATTCACATCAGCCTTCATGCGCCGGAGAAGATAAGGCATGATCAAGTCACGGAGGACAACAGCACACCTGCACAATATACAACTTAAAATTTAGAAATCATTCATTAAGGAAACAATCAAAGATTTCAGCATGAAGAAACCCAAGATGACAAAAGGTTTTACTTCTTCCAACTTTCTTAAAACCAACTAAAATTTTTAGAGATACACAGTGTGAACCTGTAGGCTGTGGATACTTGTAATGGTGAAGCATTGGCATATCCACCAACAGATATAGGGACTGCAAACTCTGCCTCAAATACAGGTAAGACACCCAACTTTCCAGGGAAAACAAAATCAAATAATGACCACAGTTCAGTAAGCTTGTTCTGAATTGGTGCACCAGTCATTATTATACGGTGAACCGTCTGAAGCTGTTTGCAAACCAGAGTGACTTCAGCATTTGGATTCCGGATTCGATGTCCTTCATCCAAGACTGCATAACCCCATTCTATGTCAAGCAACTTTTCACCTAGCAGTCGAAGTTGCTCATAAGTTGTAATTAGCAACCCAGATCTTGACCTCAAAACTCTATTTATCAAAGAATCCCATTTTTTGCTGCTTTTAGAAGAAAAGTTTCCCTCATAATCGCTGTCAAGTGAACCTTCACTTTCATAATCACTTTCTCCAGATGATTTGGCTTGCTTCTTCTTATAATCAGGATCCTGAGCAGAATCATGCAGTATCTCAACATGAAATCTTGAATACCATCTTCGTGCCTCCCTTTTCCATTGACGCAAGAGTGTTACAGGGCAGACAATAATGCTTGGTTCATACATTTTACTAAAGTGCAATGCCCCAAGAAAAGACAAGACCTGGACAGTCTTGCCAAGACCCATTTCATCCCCTATAATCCCACCTGCTCTTTGGCAATGCAGTTCCCACAACCACTGCACTCCCACTTTTTGATAGTCAAAAAGTTTGCTAAAAATGGTTTCAGGGATTTTTAGCCCACCTTCAAGTGTCACATAAGGAGGGTCATTATCATCCACATCCTCCGACTCCTCTTGGTTTTCTTCCTCATCATGGGAAGTCAAGTTATCCCTCACATCTTCTGCACAAATTTCAGAAAGAAATTGATACAGCAAAAAACAACTTTCAGCTGAAAATGCAAACAGCACATAGCGAACAGAAAACAAAACAGTTACACGCAAATGTTCATCATAAATGTACTTTTTCAGAACCATCCAGAACAAACATTAAGTTCATGCATATTTGTTGCTGTTCAAAGGATAATGATTAAAATGGTTAATTAAGAAAAAAAACTCTCTAAAAGGAATTTATGGTAGTCATAAAATACCGAATAACTTGTGCAAGGACAAAGCCGAGCATACCTCCCTCCTCTATATCCCTTTCCTCATAAGAGATTCGCTTTCTCCATTTCTTGTCGGGCAAAGGTCTCCTCCTTTTCTGTTTTGAACCTTTAGTCTCCTTGACCACTGTAGCCTGAGGAAATCTTAAAGGTTTTTTTAGCCTTTGAAAAGGAAAGGTGGGTGCATCAAGCTTTGGCAAAGCTTCCGAATCAAGTAGTTTGGTTGATGGGCGAGCTTGTGCAGCTTCTGATATTGACTTTGCAGCTCTAGCGACACTAGCAGAAACAAGATCGTCATTCTCATCTTCTTCATTAGGCACAATGTGCTCATTAGATGTCCCAGGCTGTTGAAGACGGCGCTCAAAGCCCTTAAGCTTATGAAAAGGAGTTAAAATTCCCTTCCGTACCAATTCATCCCTTTCCTAAGCCAGAAATAGTATGGCGTTAGCATCGTTCTCTTCTCTCTTTTCTCTCTCCTCTCCGCAGGTTTGAAATAGAAGGAGGTCTTAAACATGTACAACTTTAAACAGCAATCACAGATATAAAAAATAACTATCTTCTTCCCTACTCTCTAACAAAAAAAGAGAAACAAGCCAATAAGTAACCAAACTAGGAACCATGATTAACTCACCGTTTCCACAAATCCGACAGATGCTGCATCCAGCACTGCATCAAAATCAACATCTTCATTAAAGGAAACTGTTTTCTTCCGCTTTTCTTTATTTTTGCTAGGGTTTTGGATTTCTTTTGACTTTCTCTTCAGTCTAGGTTCTTCCTTCACCAGGTCCTTTATCAGCTTGTCATTCTTAATGCCCTCAGACGAACTTTCTTTGAGCAAACCAGACAGTTCTTTCTCAAGTTGAGCCTTAGTTTTCTTTAGGCTCTTTAACCTATCAGTAGCTAGGGCATGCTGAAGGGTCAAATCACGTGAAGAAAACTGCATAACACTTTCATCATCCTCTCTATTTCCTCTCTCCGTGCTATCGTCATCATCATGATCAGCTTGATGATCACCACAGGCAACATCTCTCCGCTCTTCAACGGTAGATGCAACAGCATCTATTTCAAATTCCACAGCCCTCAATTTATTCAAGAGTTTCGCTTGGTTGGCTGACAAAGATGGGTCATTGCTTTCCGACTTATCAGGAGGTTCCTCCTCAGTAGTCCCTCCTACTTCACTCCCATCCCCAGCATTGTTTTCCGCCTGACATTCAACACAATTGACCATTGTCAAATCTCCACATTCAACCAGGATTATTTACAAATGCGGGTAATTTCTACTGAACAATACAGTAACATTATATTATAAAGTAGAATTGAAAGAGAGGTTTTGAGCTGATACCTTGGCTAGAATATCTTGTTCGATATCCTCAGGATATGCAGACGTGACCCCTAAACTACTCAACAAGACTCTATCCTCCTCTTCCTTCATCAAAATTCGCCTTGATCCCTCAACTCTAATCTCGTCATATAAATCACCAAACCAAAATCACATTACATTCTTCCTTCCACAGACCACTGCGGCCCCCTAATTTTAACTGCAAAAAAGAATGTATAATTCCGTGATTGATTCGATTAAATCCAATTCCTGTTCGACTACTAAGCTAAGCTACTGAGATTCTGAGAGATTAAAAAAATAAACACGCAGATAAAGTAAAGATTTTTTTTATAAAAAATTCTGCTTTTTTTTCCTTGGATGAAAAGAAAAACATTTGATACAGAGCTCGTAGACATACCCAAATCTTGCAATTCCAATCGTCGCAAAGAAATTTTAAATTATTTTCTTTCCTTAAGATTAATTAAAATAACCAGAAATAATCGACAATTCCATTTGACCGGTTCCTTGTTTCTTGCGCCGTCTCTCTCCTTTGCTACCTACAGTTTTCTCTGTCGCCTCGATACGACCCAAATGGAGTGTTAGGACCAAATTTGTTTTCTTCTAGTTCAGGGACTTTTTTGACCCTATTTATATTCGTTACGCTCGGTGTCTTCCTCCCCAAGCAAAAACTCAAAAAGCTTATGCCGTTTTAGCCTCCGCTTCCGATCAAACGCAGCCGCATATCTGCGTTTCCTCCTTCCCTATGAACCGAAAAGTCCGAACCGAACCGAATCAATAATGTGTCACAATAAGCATCTGCCACGTGTAACAAATCTGTTTGCGGAAATTCTGATTCACCAATCGTTTACGTGTCAATTTTCTACTGGCTGAATCTCAACAACAAGTGACTTACATAAAATGACTGGCAGAAGAACCGGCACCTCCGTGCTACTTTCGCCAAAGCCCTCCGCCCACAAGAAAATGGGGGAGCAAGCTTGTTGCAGATCAGGAGAAGATAAGGAAAATGGAGAATCGAAAATCATCCGCGTATGCGGCATGCAATTCGCATACGAATTACAACATCCACTCTTCTTCGATTTCAATCTCGATATCGCTCGTGGATCTCGTTGCCTTCTCGTCGGCGCGAACGGATCTGGTAATTTCAATCACTTCGATTTCATTTTCCTTTTTGTATTGCCTTCAAACAGAAACGATTTCCTCAAGAAAATTTTCTATTCTTTCATTGTGGGCAGGGAAGACGACATTGTTGAAAATTTTAGCGGGAAAGCATATGGTTGGTGGAAGAGACGTTGTGAGAGTGCTAAACCGTTCGGCTTTTCATGAGACTCAACTTGTTTGTAGCGGTGATTTAGCTTACTTGGGAGGATCTTGGAGTAAAACTATTGGCTCTGCTGTCCGTAGATTTTCCTAACCCTTTTTAAGATAAATATCCGCCATTTTTGTTTAAAAACTGGAATTTTACTTGGGCCAAACATATGCAGGGGGAGGTTCCATTGCAGGGGGACTTCTCAGCGGAACACATGATATTTGGAGGTGAGTCAGTTAACCTCCGTTTGACTGTCGCTTTTCTCATTTGCTCTTTTATTCACTTTTGAAATTAAACCCTTTTTTTTTGTCTAATTTTACTGTTCGCAGTTGAAGGGATTGATCCTGTGAGGAGAGAAAAGTTGATTGAGTTGCTTGATATTGATTTGCAGTGGCGAATGCATAAGGTATCTGATGGGCAACGGCGTCGAGTCCAAATTTGTATGGGTCTTCTTCATCCTTTTCAGGTATTTCGAAGTTATGAATGCGCCATTTTCGTTTGACTAATATCATCACTTGAAGCTTTATGATTGTAGTATTGCTATCATCTATGACTGCATGAATGTAATGGTGCCATTAACAATACTATCTTGTGACAAACAAAAATTCAACTGCCATCTTCCACTTTAAACACGGGAATATTTGTAGATAAATTTGTGACTGCTAACCTGCATGATTACCAGTTATTCTGATTTGTTTGTAGCTGACTTCATTTGCTTCTCAAAACTACAAATATCTTTTATTATTTGCAGGTTCTTTTGCTGGATGAGGTTACCGTGGACCTTGACGTTGTTGCGAGGATGGATTTACTTGATTTCTTTAAGGAAGAATGTGAGCAGGTAATGGCTTCTGTTGTCTGTTCTAGAATATCAACATGCTCAAGCCTGATGTTGTTGAAGAGCTAGAAAATGAGAGATTACATGTGAATAGGGTGCTGGAATTGTCACTATCTAGAATATTTCTTAAGAAAAACATATAGCTCTTCATATAGCTTTTCATTAGCTGATACATTTCTTTCTGTAACAATGAGTAAAATTCACAATTTCATTTTGATTTTTACATTGGCTCACTTATCCGATTGCTAACCACATATAGAACATAGATGTTTGCTTCATCATTTCTAAAACCAATATGTCATGTTCATTCTCTGACTAATATTTACTATTGTTTTAGAGGGGAGCCACAATTGTATATGCGACCCATATTTTTGATGGGTTGGAAACATGGGCAACACATCTGGCTTACATCCAAGATGGTGAATTGAAGAGATCTGAGAAGTTGACAGAAGTTAATGAGTTGAAAAGCTTTGAAAATTTGCTCTCTGTTGTTGAGGCCTGGCTTCGTTCTGAATCCAAGTGTGAGAAAAAGAAACCCATCAGCGCCCCTGCCCAAGTCCAGAAGGCCTCGCCTTATGGTACTTCTCCTTTCATGTCATCGAGGCACATGGCATACTATCGGTGATCTCTCTTAGTCCAGCTATTTTTCAAAAATTTTTGAAAACCAAAGCAAGAAATACAAGTGGGGAAAGTTTTTTGTGGTCACCTACTATTTACTTATAGCTGGCCACTATCGATTTATATACTTGTTGGTATCTTTGTTTTAAAAATGATAATGGTGAAACTGATGATCTGTCTTTGGCAAATAGTGTTGTAATTTGTCATCTATTATGGTACTGAAATATCTATGAAATTAGTTGAAAGAAGTCAATGCAGAATAGGTGCTTCTGGATCTTGTTGGCTACACCAATGAAGCCCTGATCCAACAATCTGCCTTTGGCAAATAATGTAATCTCATTTCAATAATGAAAAAGCCTTGAGTACAATGTATATATATATTTACACTTTTGTTTGATACAATCTTGACAAGAAATGTGCTTGTTGGTTGTTTATACTAAAGCTGCAAGTAATTATGCTTTTAGGCTTCAAATTTCTCCCCTTAGTTTTAGTTGACCGAATGAATGATTTAAGGTCATGAAAGCTAATGGTATTATTTCCCAAAATATGGTGTCTTTTAAGTTGGTTTGCTGATATTGACAAAACGTATCAGAATTAAACTTAGAACATGGACTTTACACCCATTAATCGCATTGAACAGAGCTGTCCCAAAAGTGGAAAATAAGGCATGCATACTGCTGCAGGCTTATCTTCCATTGGAGATTAATTCCGTCTGAATTAATTTCATTATCTTCTGAAAGCGGCTTAATGTTTTCCCTGAATTTTTATAGCAATGTTTCTTCAACTTCCACACTCAACCACCACATCAACAGCAACACTTCCCACTGCCAAGCTGGCTACGCTAATTCAAATCATTGTCCAGTTCATGATGTCGACTAGAACTTCCTCCTTCCTGCCGGCATCCAAGATGGGACCGGACGGAACTAACAACTAACACCGTAACACGGTAGAATTATCTTACACAAAACAAAACCTACTTCGTCCCATTATCTTGCTTTGCTTTTTTTTTTTTTTTTGGTGTCGTCTTGTAAGCTCACAAGAACTCTCTTTCCTTCTTTTATAGCACGTAAATTCATAAAAATTAATTTAAGGTCACATTTTTAAATTAGGACATTTTTAACTAAATATTTGACTATAGCATATGAATATTTACATTGATCAATAGCACATCAAAATTCTTAGAATAAACATGTAGTGACTAATGAGACAATGTGAAAGACATTATAATCTATCCCAACATTTGTCAATTAGTAATGTAGTTGATGGTGCAATATCCGGTGAGGAAAAGGTCAGAAGATGGATGGTTTGTGCTATTCACAAAGTTGGTCTTTGACGTTGTCCCAAGGTGCCGCCCTTCTTTGAAGAAACGCCCAATCCAATCCAAATCACTGGCGCTGGCAACAGCCCCGGTCCCTAGGTTGGGTCTGACTTTTCTCATTATATTCCAACCACAACAACTACAAAAAAAGAGAGAAAAACATGAAACTTTGCAGTGTATTAGAGGTTAACCAACCATCCCACCAAAACATTCCCAAAAACATTCAACATGATTTGGTCAGTTCAATTAAAAGAAGGAAGATTAGGCTGCGGTAAAGGTTGTAACATTTCAACCGTCAACACATAAAGGTGGCTTGGGAAGAAGAATAAATTTCGCCTGCATATACTTTATACTAGTAGAAATATTTTGGTTGAACAATGAATTTTAAGCTGAACTTAATCAAATATCACTTGAAATCATATGCCATCGTTTGCACTTATTCACAAATAATTTAACAACTTTATTTATTTTTTAAATAGAATATAATTTAGAAATATCTAAATATTTTTTTATAAAAAATCACATTTAAAAAAAAATTATAAATGTTAGAATGTAAATCCTAAATTAAATGTTATTTATTAACCATGATTAAATGGATAAATTGAATTAAATATTAAATTTTAAATATATTAAGCTTATTTAATTTGAACATTCCAATATAATTTTTTGTATATTTTGTTTATTTTCAATATTTATTAAAGCACAAATGTTAAAAAAAAAAAAAAAGGGTACTCAATACGTTCGGAGGTCATGATACGAACGTGAATAACCGCATAATGAATCTTCCTGGATCAATTTACTTGTGATATCCAATAATTATTTACAAAAATAAAAATCCAAAAATTTAGAAAAAAAAAAAAAGGGAAAAACGCATATAAAATGGAAGGTGTCTGACAGTGTGAGTGATGAAAATACAAATGACAGAATCACACGCGCGACAAGAAAACCAAAAACCTTTCTTCCCTTCCTCTAGTTTCTCTTACAAACCTCCTTTTTCTCATTCGCATTTTGTTTTCCAAAAAAAAAAAAAAAACTGCAGCGAAACAACCGGGAGAGCTTTTTGCGGATCATATTGTCTAACGCAAACTACGCGGCAGCGTGAATTTCTTTGCTTGCTTAACTTTTTTTTTTCATTTCTCGAAAATTGAGGCTCTGTGCGTGTGTGTGTTTTTGTTTATTTTTTGTTCGCGGGGAAATTTGATTTTGATTAGAGGAAATGGATTCGGCGAGGAGTTGGTTTTTGAAGCTACAAACGAGGGATAAGTTGAGGGCTTCGACGAGGAGGAAGGAGCCGTTGTCCAGCGGTGAAGGCGGAGGAGAAGCAGAAGGCAATGACGAAGCCAATACGGACGAAGAAGCTCTCTCCAATGTCACCAAACAAAAGGCCGCCGCTGCCAAGCAGTACATTGAGAATCATTACAAGGAACAAATGAAGAATCTTCAAGAAAGAAAAGAGCGGTATGGCTCCTTTCGACCCTTTATCTTCCTAATCTTATCCTTAAATTTGCTCAAGTATCTTTCGTTTCTTATATAAGTTGTAAATTATATTGAGAAGCGAGGATATTTCTGTAAGTTATAATTAGATACATATAAAAGACTAATATTATATCCAACTTTTGGTAGTATGATTTAATGAATCTGAACAAATTTTCAAAGTCATTACAAACTGAGGAATTTTCTCATCATTTTAAGGAAAATATGAAAAAGATAATTATAGCAGTCTTTTTAAGCAGAAAATATATCTAACAACAAGAGCTCTACCCTTTAAATGGTAACTGAGTGAAAATAAGCACGGCAGGGGCTGATAGTAATTTGGAGTGGAGTTTATAATGTCTTTTAAACTTTAGTAGATTATTAACTTCTTTTAAAGAAATTCATTTCCTAATAGCTCTTTTTTTAATAGACGAATAATCCTGGAAAAGAAGCTGGCGGATGCTGACGTCTCTGAGGAAGATCAAAATAACTTACTGAAGTTCTTGGAGAAAAAGGAAACTGAATACATGCGCCTTCAGAGGCATAAAATGGGTGCTGATGACTTTGAATTATTAACTATGATTGGCAAGGGTGCGTTTGGAGAGGTATACTTCTATGTACTGTCAACCGCCATAGATCATGTTCTGTTTTGTCCTTGTGCAAGGAGTACTGATGCTATAGAGTACTTGATTTCTTTTTCTCCAATTAAAATTAATCTTTTGAGTTTCTTAAAAATTTGTTTATGGTGCAGGTTAGAGTTTGTAGGGAAAAGACAACCGGCCAAGTATATGCTATGAAGAAGCTGAAGAAATCAGAAATGCTTCGAAGAGGCCAGGTTTTCATTTATTCTGGTCACGTGGTGTTGTTGAGGTTTTGTACACTATTAATTTTGGATGTTCCTATCTTATTTTAGGTTGAGCATGTGAGAGCTGAAAGGAACCTGCTCGCCGAAGTTGACAGCAATTGTATTGTCAAACTTTACTGTTCTTTCCAAGATGAGGAGTTCCTTTATCTTATAATGGAATATCTACCTGGTGGAGATATGATGACGTTACTTATGAGAAAGGATATCTTGACTGATGATGAAGCTAGATTTTATGTTGCAGAGACAGTTTTGGCTATTGAATCTATCCACAAGCACAATTACATTCATAGGTCAATATATAGACAAAATGAACTCTCAAGATGTTTTTTCTGACGTAGGGTTAACCTTTTGAGTGTTAAATGTTGCAGGGATATCAAGCCTGACAACTTGCTACTGGATAAATATGGACACTTGCGATTGTCAGATTTTGGACTATGTAAACCCTTAGATTGCAGAATTCTCCAAGAACAGGATTTTTCTGTAGGAGGTAACATTAACGAGGTTACAGAAAATGATGAACGCCCACCAGCTCCAAAACGAACACAGCAAGAGCAACTACAGCATTGGCAAAAAAACCGGAGAATGCTTGTAAGTTCTCATCCATTATGTCTCAACTATCCTTCTATCTCTCTATATCTCATGATATAAATGGTTCACTAAATTAAATTAATATATTGGTGGATCTGAGGTAGGTTGCCCTTGTTTGGTGAATTGAAGATGGTCTCATGGACTCACTAAATGAAAAATATTGGACCCTGCATTGCTTTTCTATCAGAATATTTGTAAATAGAATTGTTTCAGTTCATATGTGTTCATGCGTGTCTTGAAGTAATGGTTATGAGCTTTTGGAAGAACTCAGCAGTGATTGTTGGATGATTCATTATTGTTTTTGTCAAATACTTGGATTTCTTAGGCTTATTCTACTGTTGGTACTCCCGACTATATTGCTCCAGAAGTCCTCTTGAAGAAAGGTTATGGAATGGAATGTGATTGGTGAGTAGTTATGCGTTTTGAAATGAAATTCCATTTTGTTTCACATACGAATCTCCTTTTGGTTTGTTTGACATAGCAATTCAAATTGTAACCGTTTAATTTAGAAACCGAACTGATTATGTTTAGTTGCAGGTTAGAGGGCATTTCATTTTTAACTATTTTATATAAACTGTTGACTTATTTTGAAATAATAGCTTCCTTTCTCTCAATAACAAATGGTGAATTAAAGTGGTGTCCTCTTATGATGTCAAGAATGTCCTAATTTCCTGCAGTTCTGACAGTATTATAGATTCTTGTGACTGATGATAATTATTTTGCATAGGTGGTCACTTGGGGCAATTATGTATGAAATGCTTGTGGGATATCCACCTTTTTATTCAGATGATCCGATGTCAACTTGTAGAAAGGTAATCTGAGAAATAGTGCCAATTGATGTTATGTACTCTTTTCTCATTTATTACTTTTGTCTGGATCTGGCTTGTGTTATCACTGTTTTTACTTTCATCTGAAGATCAGTTAACCAGTCCTGATTTTGCTGAGGCTGGAATGTGGAAAGAAACTCTCACAGTTCAGCAATAAAACATTTATGACTTTTCGTAGATTTTTCTTGTTTTATGAATTTTTATTAGGGAATCTTTACAAAACTTGCTCCAATGATCTCCTGTTCATAGAGGGCAGCTTAAGTATAATTCCTTTTTCGGCTGCATAACAGCCATCTGTTTTTGCAAAATGAATTAATTGATGAAGAAAAAGAAGGATATAAAGAAGTTTCATTTCTCTAATAATGTCACATTTTTTATTCTTTGCATAGATAGTAAACTGGAGAACTCATTTGAAGTTCCCTGAAGAAGCAAGGTTATCTCCAGAGGCACAAGATCTGATTAGCAAACTCTTGTGTAATGTCAATCAGAGACTAGGATCAAAAGGGGCAGGTGAAATTAAGGTGTTGTTTGGTGTGACACTATTCTAGATTCTTGAATCTGTTCCTTAAACTTGTTTCCAGAAAAGGAGATTATCTTGCTTCTTTTTACTTCCCTAGGACCATCCGTGGTTTCAAGGTGTGGACTGGGATAGGATATATCAAATGGAGGCAGCATTTATTCCTGAGGTTAATGATGAGCTAGATACTCAAAATTTTGAAAAGTTTGATGAGGTACTGATAACCCTTAATTTTCAGATTCAGTAGTGTTGAACCGTTGATTATGTTGCAACTTTAATGTCATTCATGATGTTTGATTTCTGTTTGCTTATTTTTCACTGTACAGTCTGAGAATATGAATCAAACATCGTCAAAATCTGGTCCATGGAGGAAAGTAAGCTTCCAGTAACTTTTGTATAGTATTGGAGTCATCTATCCATTGCATTCCAGTCTGCTGTTAGTGAATGACAAAATTGTCATTTTTTTCTTTGGCTCTCTTATCATTTTTTCAGAACTAAGATTTTTTAATTTGATTTGAAGCAGCTATACCATAGAATTATATTGGTGGGTACTATTTTATTTATTTATTTATTATTATTATTGTTGTTGTTGTTGTTATTATTGTTATGTCAAGATGGTTTTTGCATGTGTACTGTTTGATTGTTAAAAATTCGAAAGTCTATTATAATTTCAGAGAGTGTTTCATGAAACTGCATTTCATGATTTTGTGCTCCCTAATCCCAACATGTCATGGCAGTGCATTTCATATGCTAATTATTAATGACAAAAATAATTGTTTTTTCTTGATCATCCATCTATTTTGCAGATGCTTTCGTCAAAGGACATCAACTTTGTGGGTTATACATACAAAAATTTTGAAATTGTCAATGATTATCAAGTGCCTGGGATGGGTATTCTTCTTTATCCGCTTTATGTATTGAATTATGTGCATACACTGGCATGGTATTGGTTTCAGAATCATGTGTAAGAATGCCTGTCTGACCAATGTTTCAAGATTCTAAAGCTTCATATGATCATTATTATTATATTGTACAAGCTGTTTTTGTTTGAATGGTGCATCTTAACTTTATAGCTTGATTCTGCTGTATGTGGAAAATAGTTGTTTCAGTAATTTGCACTAAAGATTTATCCCCAATCACTGAATTTAAGGGTTATTGCATTAGATTCATGGGGAGTGCAAGTGTTCAAATCGCTGACCCAAAATAACTGGAAAGTACAGCATAATCTATTTAAGCCTGTTTGTGATTTATTGCTGGCATTACTTTATAGTACCTTGTTTTCATGCAAAGTTTTCTATGATTGTCAGTATTTGGACCTTGGAAATTACATTTATACGATGACATTTACTTTCTCTTTGCAGCTGAGTTGAAGAAGAAGGGCACCAATTCAAGGAGGCCGTCTATTAAGTCGCTTTTCGGTACCTTCACTTTTTCCTTATCATACTTGATATGTTGTTGGTTATTATTTGTATGTCTGCTGACATATACATCACTGCCACTATCTTTAACATATTTGGTTTTTCTATCTGATTACTCAACATAGAGGGTGAGTCAGATACATCAGATACTTCAGACTCAACTACTAATGATCAGCCTGTTCAAGGGAGCTTTTTGAATCTCTTGCCTCCCCAACTCGAAGCCACTGAAAAGCGGTGCGGGTCCCAGTAACTTGCCCCATCTTTTTCAACTGTTAGAAGACAAGTTGGTCCGGGTTACTAACCAGTAACCAAACCCCATCTTTGGACATGTTGGTAGGTGGTCGTTATAACTGCAGGAACTTCAGGTTTGATTCACAGTTTAAGGTCTAGATACCAAGGAAAGCTACTACTGATCAAAGGTTTTTTTTTTTTTTTTTTCTTTAAATATAAATATAAAAACAAACAGGAGAATAGAAAAAGAAAACCTAAAAGAAGAGAGTAAGGATTAAGGAGAAACTACTAGCCATTCCATAATATTAGGTTCAAAATATTTTATTCTTTGTCAGTGTCAAAAGCAGCAAAATGTTGTACAAAGACACGCTCTTAAGCCATATACCATCATGTATACATGCCTTGCTATGTCTTAACAAAAGGTTGAATGCCCTGAGAGATGGTTTGAAGAGCGTTAGCTTATAGTTACCGCCGCCGCTGCCCGCTGTTATTAAACAGATTCGCTTCGATTCATGGCATGGTTTGAAGCAAAAACGTGACAAACTGGAGATACAAATATTTATCAATGAATCAAACCCTTAAAAACATGTTTGAACTATAATAACAAACATGAGATACAAATGCTTATTATTGAACCAATTGCCTTTGATAAGAAAAGAAAAAAACATATTACTAATATTTGCTTACTAAAATAGAAGTTAGATTAAAATATATCGACCTGTCTAGTCTACATTACCCAATTCAGAATCTTGTGACTTATAGCAACCAAATGATGCGGCCTGATATTTCAAAAATGGTATTATGGGTCCAGAGTCAGTTTTGGGTGCCATCTGTCATGATATTTTGCAAACGTAGTGTCACTATCAATTTTGTTTTGACTAACCAAATTTAGGATCTAACTTCACCATCAAATGTATTGATCCAATTGACTGACTGGTCAGTCTGGTATCCAAACCATTTTGAACTATTGTCTTCTTACAGAAATCTTAGAATAAGATTGATAGAAGGGAATTTTGAGAATTAGCCTAGTAATCAATCATTGTGATGCAGAAGTTACCTCCATTTATCAATATCAATGTATGAAAGTTCGGTTCATATTTATAGGAATTTAGCTAAATTTCTGAACTTGTTAGTGAAGTAAAATTAATTTTATTTATATTTTAAATAATTATGATTATTGAATATAAATAAATTATTATTTATAAATATTACGATTATACAAAAAATCATATTCATTTAAATAAAATTTTATGTTTATTCAATCATTATAAATAAATCTTTTAAAATAATCATTTTTATTACTTTTAATTAAAAATTTTAAAATTTTGTTGTACCTTAAATATATAATTATTCTTTTAAAAAAAATTTCACATCTTAAAATCAAAATTTTGTTTTTTAATTTTTTTTAATTTATTTTTTCTAACAGGATACATATATTTTTCTACAATGTTTCCTTTGGTTGAGAATGTTGTAACATTATGTGTCTGTGGTCGTTAACCTATGCACTTGTTTGGGTCTGCAATGGCTTCGATCGAAGTTTAAAAAAAATGAAAATCAATCAGCAGGCGAGATGGACCTGGTTGTTAATTTGAACGTTTTGGCTTTTTTTTTTTTTTTGGTGACAAGAGAAGGAAAAAGCATTTGACCCCTTAAAGACAGCGTCCGTATTTGGTATTGGTTGGTCTGCTTGAGATGACATTTCTTGACTGATTCTTAAACGTTAAACCCACTCCTTACTCCACGTTCCATCAATTAAATATCGAGTTACAACTAATTATCCTTATCCATTGCTTTTGGGATATATAGTCTTCATTTCAAAATATTACATGATAATAATATGTAAAATTCTTTTTTTTTTTTTTTAAATTTCAGATTCCATCAAAATCATCAGCTTACCAGCACAACAAAAATTTGTATCTGTATATACTTCGTAGAATTGATTATTAGTTTGATAGTTTCAAAATCACACAGTTTTACAGTCATAATGTAAACATGATTATTTTTGTTAGAAATTAACTTACAGTAAAAGTATAATAGAAAAATTAATTATGTCATTAGTAATTCCAAAATCACGTATAGTTTATATTGTGTATTAATTCTATAAATTGATGTGTCATTATCAATGTTGCTGTCACCCCGTCGGCTTCAAGGTGTGCCACTATCATTAACCAAACCATGCATTATTATTACTTTAATTAATTAATTAATTAAACCCTAAATATATTTTTACATTTTAAACTGTCATACTATGGGCTTAGTTAAAGTAGCCTTAACCAAACTTATGAAGAGGTCAAAGGAAACAAGCTATCTCAATTAAGGGTGTAATTAAGTCGAGTTGAATCGAACAGTGAGAAGTTCGAGTTTAAGCTCGACTCATAATTCGAGATTCGATATTCGGTTCGAACTCGATCGAGTTTTATTTTTCAAGCTCGAGCTCGATTCATGATCGAATTTGAGCTACTCAAACTCGTTCGATTAAACTCGATTAATATGTAAAAATAAGGTCGATTCGTATACTCGACAAAAGTTCGATTATTCATGCTCGAACTCGAACTCGGACTCGAAATATTTTATTAATTAAAATAATAAAAATATATTTAAATATAAAAGCTCGATTAAACTCGCGAGCTACTCGAGTCGGATATAAGAATACTTGAATTCAACTCGATTGATAAGTCGAGCTACTTGAGCTCAAGCTCGACTCAATAATAATCAAACCGAATTTGAGTTTTTTTCGAATCAAACTCAAATAACTTGCGAGTACTAATGTATCATTTACACCTCTAATCTCAACATCGCCACGAAAACACACCGATTGAAGTTTTTTTTTTTTTCAATTTCCTAAAAATCAGCATATTAACTAACAGCTATCCCGTTTAATGAAAGAATATTACTTCTGTAAATAAAAATTAATTAATCTTTAAAGGGTTCTTAAAACGCTGCTCGTTACTCAAATTCTTATTGTATGATTACCTCATAAGCATTTTCCTTTCGATTAAATCCTTGAAGAAAATCTTTTATTCAGTTTTATATTTTATTATAATTAAAATTTAATCAGCATTTTATAAAAAAAAAGATTTTTGGAATTTTAAATTTTTAAATATTTTATACTAAATTAACCATAAACTCAATATATAATATAAGTCACTTGCAGCTTAATTCAATCTATAACACATAAGCCACGATTTTCATTTTTTTTGGACAAAATTTAGATAAAATTCTTAATTAGATGGAATTTTTTAGTTTTAAAAAAATTTTAATAAAATTTTCAAATTGATAAATTAATAGAATTCAATATGAAAAATAATAATATATAAAAAAAATTACTAAAAATATTGGTTTTAATTAAAATTTGATAAGTACTCATTTAATTGTAAAAATTCTATCAAAATTTTTATTAAAAATATCCAACTAAAAAACATATTAAATTTATTAATTTTTTAAAAAAATTTTCATGCTTGATTTATATAAAAAGAATTTTCAATTTATTAAGTTTGATTTTAGATTTTAATTCTTATTTAATCATTTTTAATAAGAAACTTCATAATTTTCACCTAAAAAATTTCATTTAAATCTTTTCCTTTTATTGATAATTTTATATGTGAGGGTAGTTCTTCTTTCTACATCTATGGAAATTCCACCTTACGCTTTCATGGCTTCAAAATATATAAACTTGTTAAAAATCTTAAGAAAGTTAATAATGGGAAAATCACTACCAAAATGACGTTTGCTTGGCTTTTAGCTTCGTATCTTGATCTGTGTCAGGCCATGCCGGCCGAGCTGTTGCATTAAACAAGTCCCAAAGTTTAGTCTTTGCTCCTTTCTTTGGTCATCTTAACTGCCCTAAATTTCCCCTTTAAAAATGGCCTCCAGCTTTGCTTAACACCCTCCCACACCCCTTAACTATTTTTCTCTCTGATTTTCTCTTTCTTCCTTCTGCTTCATCTTTCAATGATGAAAGGAGGATTTGAAGTGTTTCATGCGACTCTAGATATGATCCAGCCTCATTATGAACCAATATGGGATTTTGCCTCTGTTGGGTTTCCAACAACAATTGCTGTCAACTCCATCCCGAGACAAACACTTGAAAATGGTTGCATAAACTTGGAGAGAAATGAGCTCTCAGAGTGGGTTGAGCAAGTCACCAAGCAGCTCATTGATGACTTGCCAGCTGATAATACAGAAACTGATCATAGCAGCTTTCAGGCGGCTGACACATCAATGGTATGCGAGGATAACTTTGCCCCATTGCTGCCGGGTGATTTTAGGCCAACGAAAACTGTAAGGAGTTTTTCGGATGGCAACTGTATTGAAGAGCTTCAATGGAGCAACAAGCTTGTTGGAAACCAAACAAATAACGTTTGCGAAAATAATGGAGGGAATGGTAAAGGGTTAAGTAGGTTAGAAGAGCAAGGTTTAAGCTTGATAACGCTTCTTTTGGAGTGTGCTGTTGCTATCTCTGTTGACAATCTTGGGGAAGCTCATAGAATGTTGCTTGAACTGACCCAGATGGCTTCTCCTTATGCTCTTTCTTGTGCTGAAAGGGTTGTGGCATATTTTGCTAAGGCCATGTCTAGTAGGGTTATTAACTCATGGTTGGGGATTTGCTTTCCTTTGGTAAACTATAAAAGCGTTCATTGTGCCTTCCAAGCCTTCAACAATGTCTCTCCGTTTATTAAATTCGCTCACTTCACCTCCAACCAAGCCATCCTTGAGGCATTTCATCGACGCGATAAGGTTCATATCATAGACCTCGATATCATGCAAGGTTTGCAATGGCCGGCCTTATTTCATATCCTAGCGACGCGTATTGAAGGGCCTCCGCACGTCAGGATGACCGGCATGGGCAGTACAATGGAGCTTCTCGTGGAGACAGGAAAACAACTTTCCAATTTTGCTAAACGCCTTGGAATGTCATTTGAATTCCACCCAATCGCAAAGAAATTTGGAGAAATTGACATTACAATGATACAAGTCCGAAGGGGAGAAACACTAGCTATTCACTGGCTACAGCATTCACTCTATGATGCCACGGGACCCGATTGGAAGACACTGAAACTTTTTGAACAACTGGCTCCAAGAGTGATCACATTGGTCGAGCAAGATCTCTCCCATGGTGGATCTTTCTTGGACCGTTTAGTGGGCTCTCTCCACTACTATTCCA